CCTTCAATGCATCAAGGTAAGCTATGGTCCCAGATGTTTTATAATGCTCTAGCTAATCTGTGCAAGGTGGGATCCATACACTTTTCCTTCTTTTGGGTTCAACAATAACTTCTACTCCTCGTATGCTTTCACTTCGTTCTCGGCAACGATGGTAATCAAGAATGGCGACACTGCTGCGACTACTATCGGTTGTATATCAGCTGATATTACGCCTGACATTGGGAACAGTTTATCTACCACGGTGAAGTATGTACCTTTGATAGTGCTTCTCTGTGTCGCGTTTGCAACTGCTTTCGCGGGCATATACAGTCCTTGGGGCACCAATGACATCTTTCGATGGACAACAAATTATGGTCGAGATGCAGACCTGCTCCGTTTGGTCACACCTGGATTTGGCGATTGCTTACAATACATACAATTTGTTGCTCTTACTGGAGGCTTAACACTTGACTATCCTGGCTTTTATCAACCAATCGTTAGTAAAGTTGCATGGTCATCATTGATGTTCAATGAAAGCTTCGTCAGCAACACTTATCAGGACAGTCTGGTCGACGGCATATACGTAGTGAATGGAACCTATGGTCTTGATCGCATGCGACAACTGATTGGAATGGGGGAATCGGATGATGTCTGGGCCGGCATGGCCGTTTGGCTTTTGGCTATTATTGGAGTCGTCCTTGTACTGATTCAGCTGGGTTTCGCCACGCGTTGGGCGTGGAGGCTGCTAATGGGTACTCAAGAAGAGGATTTGAGGAAGAAACACGTGCCATTTTCCGTTGGAAACGTGATTCGTATTGTGTTTAATTATTTCTTGCTTCCCATCGTTGCCCTTTCCATGTTTCAATTAGTTGAGGCTTCTAGGTCACCAGCCTATACGACCGGTCTTGCATTACTTATGCTGATCGTAATTGTCGTTTTTGCCATCTACCTGTTGTACCTTATCGCAACGGCAAGACCAAAGTCCTACCTATTCGATGATCTCCCAACGGTGCTTACCTACGGAGCGTTGTACAACACATATTCAGACAATGCGGCCCCTTTCGCCCTCGTACCCGTACTCCTGACTTTTCTCCGCGGCATCTCAATTGGAGCTGTTCAACCATCAGGCATTGCGCAGCTGGTTCTTCTCGCGATTTGCGAAGTCATCACAATATTAACCTTACATGCGTTTCGACCTTTTCATTCGCCGACATCAATGAATGCCTACCACACATTCTTCGCCGCGGTGCGCTTTTCAACTATTTTGTTAATGATAGCATTTGCTCCTTCGCTTGGTATTACGGAAGGGCCAAAGGGCTGGGTTGGCTATGCGATTCTCCTAATGCATGCCATTGTCCTTATTCTCGGCTTCATGTTAAATGCAATGCAGACGATTGTTGAAGTTGCTGCCAGGCTTGCCGGTGCCGGAGGCAATGAGAGTGGCGCAGCTAGAGGTGGTCTTTCTAAGGTATTTGGTATGCGACAATTGTCTAGAAGGTTGCCTCGTCGGGATGCCACATCGCGCCAAAGTCAATTATCAAGCGCCGCTATGCTTTCTGACCAAGACAGAAAATCATACCTAGTCGAGGGAGGCAGGCTTCGGAGTCAATCTGCGGGTAGCGCTGGGATCCTGCTCAATAGACAAAGTGCAAATCTCGATAATATGACTGTAGATGCTTTCGGTGCAATGCCTACACATCATGTTGGCAGCGGTGCACCAAGCTCTTATACCCCAACAACACCAGGGGAGGCAAGCACATTCTCATTCCTGCCATCTGCTGCTGCGCCAAGCGGCCGGGGACGCAATAAAGGTGCCATATTAGGCTTGGATACAACCGACACAGCCGATCCTTACTATCGGCCTCCTAGATTCCGCCGGCCGACTGCAGATGCTTATTCCCCAGGAGCAAGAAGTCGAGGGTCGTGGGCTAGTGGTGATTGGACTAATAGGCACGAATCACCACCTGCGGATCCTGATGCCATTGAGCCTTTGGAGGGTCCTTCAATTTCTGGCCGTAATAGTCCATCTCAGCAACAAGCTTTAGATGGAGCTCCTTTGGAGCTTAACCGATCGAAGGCTGATTACACTACAAGAGAGGTCGACTTCTACTACGGCGTTCGTGGGCCTGCTTTGAACGCTGAAGCACCTAGTCGGAGAATCAAAACTGGTCCTGCTGATCCTACGGGAATTCCTGCCTCCGCTGCAGGCTGGTTCAAGAGCTTCTTCAAAGGCAAGACGAAGGAGAAGGGTAAAGGATTTGAGGTCGTGAGGAGCTCTAGGATGCCACCAGGAGGGTTGAGCAACCCAAGAAATGCACCTGGTGATGAATCACCACCGGAAGGAATTCCAGTAGCCACAGGAGCAATTCGACATGGTCCAATTGATTCCGATTCTGATGATGGACATGACGCCGCCGGTCTATCAGGACGAGCTGGCCTGTCGCGTGTGGATGGCGCAGATGCTGATGATGGTGAATTAGTCAGTTCTATAGGATCGGATGATGGGCAGAGCTACCATGACGACGAGGATGAGTTTGAAATGACCAGGATTTCTGATATTCCCCCCTCGCTGCAAGGACTAAAAATCCCTGAAGGTGGAATGGAACTGCCTAGTAGGTTTCCTTCAAAAGCTAGCTCAAGAGTACCTCATGGTTCACGAGCCGGCGACCCAATACCAAATATGCCTTTAAGTCCTCCAGCTCGAACCCCTACAGTTCCACGAAAGAGTTCCCGTCGAAAATCACAGAATACAAGTGTGGACTTAACTATCCCAGGTGTCAGTCGTCACACACCTCAAAATTCACTCACTTCACGACTCCCTTTTGAGAGATCGAATTCCAACAAGCGACATTCCGACATCTCTGCTAGATCCAGCATAGCACCGCATGAGGGATATGGACATTCTCGAAACACTTCATTCGGTAATTTTACCGAGGGGTATGGACATGATCGGCCGACGAGCGTAGGATATGTTTCACAGCACCACATCCACACCATCAACCCACCAGAGAACAATCCGCAATATCTCGGTAGCTCTGCTGAATTGGTGGATGGACGAATTAGTGCAAGTTCATCCATTGATAATCCTCGATGATTGGAAGCTTTTCGCACACGTTTCACTTTTTTCACTTTACTAATATGCATTTGATCGTCACATGAACGAATTTCCTTGGTCGAAAAAGTCTCTTGGTGTTATGCGGCCCTACATGTACTGTAAAAAGGACCGGAGTAATATGGCGATAGGTGGATAGCGATGAACTTTTCATGGTTGGGCGGAGGGAATAGCTGATTGATTGGAATGAAATGGGGGAGGGGAAAGAAGAACCCCTTTGAAAATCAGAAAGGCATATAATTTACGTATCCTGTCTATATAATATCTGACATTCACGATCCTTGTAATAATAAGCATAGTAGGAAGATGGTGGTTGGTTTCTTGCGTTGGGAGAGGCTACTTTGAGGGACAAGGAAAAGGGGGGGGGGGGAGAAGGGGAATGAATGGGTGTCTAGGTATTGGATTGGATCCAAATTCGATCGTGAATGTGGGAAACCATAGAATATGGACAGGATTATGGGACATGGATAAATTAATATATATTTTGACTTTTGTAGTGCCTAGTATGCTTGATTGAATGAATGGGCTTTGAAGTTGTGGAGAGTTGAGGGGTGCCTATGTAGGTAGGTATCTAGGTAGATGTGAATGTGGCTGTGCAGATTGAACTATTTATTGGCATTTGAATATCTAGGTACCCTAGGTACCCTAGTAGATATATCGTCTCTTTATATTGATCGGGATTGGGATATATGCATGTTTTTGGGGTTTTTTAATTTTGCTAGTGGGTAGAGTGAGTGAGTTAGCAAGTGTGTGGTGTTGAGTAACTTAATTGGTCTGCGCGTATTTACCTACCTAGTAAGTATTCTCAATACGCGTATAGATGGATTGAGGGGATGAGATGAGTTGAGTTGAGATGAGATGAGATGAGATGGGACTTGGCATGTTTGGGAACTGAAAATCATCGTCATTGAATGACCCCGCAGCTAGTGATTGTTGAGTGAGTGAGTGAGTGAGTGGGTGGGTGAGTGAGGGAAGAAGGAGAGGAGGGGAGGAGGGGAGGGGAGGGAGAGAGGCACAAAGCGTTTCTTTTTTTGGTTGATGGAATGGAATGTTGAGTTAGTTATGTATGTATCTAGGGAGGAGGTGTATATATACCCAGTATGTATATATATGTATGTAATAGTACCGGTAAGTACGGAGTAGATAGGTATAAATAAGGTTTGCGATACCTACCTAGTATTGCTATTGCACAAAGGGGGGGGAGGAAGCTTTGTAAAGTTATGATAGGTAAGAGCCGGAATCTGGAAATTCTTGATCATTCCGATGACGAAAGATCTTTTCTCAATGCGTAGCCAAAGTTACTTTTGACTGTGTCTCTCAACTTCCGCCACACGGCTCACTTCCTGATAGGTAGGTAGATACAAATGTAAATTGATTAATGACTCGCATAGGTAGGAAGGCATGAGTACATAGATATACGTCCCAGGTATATATAAATATCTTTTCTTACATGTATTCTTACAGGTAACCTTACATAAACATAAACATTCGCCTCAATTCAAAAGAACATCTACCTGCCCTGCCTGTCTACTCATTACCTGTCACGTCTACTTACCGCATCATCCACCATCGTCAGTGATACACTAAATTTAAATTTTACCCATATTTAAGCCCTGTGACGTTGCATGGTTCCTCGGATCTCCCCTCTATTCAGCACATTTTGGTACTTCCTGCCGTTAACGAACACTTTTTAATGGTCCACCTGAGGTTTTTACTCACACTTTTTGACCAAACCATTTCCAACAACGACATACCTGGAAATCCTTTACATTTGTTCACACATTCTCCCAACCCAGCTTCCCACTACATCCACCTTATTTGGAAAGTGGTGGATACGCAGATCTCCTCTTAATTTCCACAGCATCTAGAAAGAAAGAACGCTCTAGTTACAATTTATTAAATCGCAAGAATGGTTAGCTTGGGTCATGTTCATCGGAGGCAGTCTGGTGCAAGTATGTTTCTTCTCGGGCTGGAATGTGCTTTATTTACATGCTATTACTACCGAGTGAAATAGACGATTTGGAACAGCATCACTAATAACAATATGACAATTTTAGGCAACCGGTCTTCCGTCGACGAATCGAAGGTTTCTGATGCCGAGGATGAGACTACGGTCGTTGAGCCAGATCAGGGAAATGGTAGGAGTCCATGAGATCTGACACGGGAGAAATGTTGCAGAGGCTGACATGGTGGAATGGAATACAGTTCTCTCACACATCATCTCACAGCTTCGTCCGGGGGCCGATCTGAGCCGCGTCGTCTTGCCTACCTTTATTCTCGAGCCCAGAAGTATGCTGGAAAGAATCACAAAGTGCGTAGATATCGGAGCTTCGGAAGGGATGCGGATTGAAGGGCAGGCATGCTGATGGTGTATAGCTTCATGGCACATCCGGAAACTCTGCTTCCCATGGCGGAGGTAGAGGACCCCTTGCAAAGATTTACTTCGGTTGTTAAGTTTTACTTGAGTGGATGGCACATCAAACCTCCGTAAGGCAGACTCGACCTATTTGAGAGGAGCGGTTGTGCTAATGAGATATTGCAGAGGGGTTAAGAAACCACTCAATCCTATCCTCGGCGAAATCTATACTTGTTATTGGCAGTTTCCAGATGATACAAAGGGATACTATATTTCCGAGCAAACCTCTCATCATCCACCGAAATCAAGCTACTTTTACATGGCGCCAGAACACAACATACGAATCGACGGATGTTTGAAACCTCGAAGCAAATTTTTGGGCAATTCTGCGGCTAGTATGATGGAGGGTATTGCTATTTTGAGATTTTTGAACAGAGGGACTGGACCTAAAGGAGAAAGATAGTAGGTTACATGCTGCAGAACTTTGAATACGGGAAATTCTCAGATACTAACTTGCTACCAGCATTCTGACTCAACCCAACATGTACGCTCGAGGTATTCTTTTCGGTAAGATGAAGTATGAGCTCGGTGATCATAGTTTTGTGCGCTGCCCGGAGCTCGGATTGAGCGCGGATATCGAGTTCAAGACGAAGGGCTACTTTGGAGGAACTTACAATGCTATTGGGGGTAGTATTAAAAATGACAAGACAGGGGAAATTCTCTATGAGCTTTCGGGTATGTGGAACGGAGAAATGTTTATCAAAACACTAAGGTATGATTCCCTGATTCCTGAACGACTCGTGAAAGCTACTGATCATGCTTTTAGACGGGTAAGAAAGATCTTTTGTTTGATGCTACTAGAGCGAGACCATCACCTCCATTAGTGAGACCTTTAGAAGAACAAGATGATAGAGAATCGCAAAAGTTATGGTTTAAGACGGCAAAAGCGGTCAAAGAACGCAACCACGAAGTTGCGACAGATGAGAAGACATTTATCGAAGATATGCAGAGAGATGAGGCTGCAAAGAGAGCAGAAGATGGTGTTGAATGGACTCCAAGGTTGTTTAGACCAGTACGAGGTGGCCCCGGCGGGTCCGAAGAGGGTGAAGAAGATCTAGATTGGATCTTGAATGCAAGCATGTAAGTTAGGCCAGGCTTAGTTGTCAAACATTTTACTAACATGGAAAACAGTGATGGCGCTAGTCCACAAGAACAGACGGAACAAATCCTCGCGGTTTATCCAATCCTTCCAGGTCAGAAATTCACGGAAAAGAACCGTATTCCTCCACAGCATCACCAACATACAGAACAGGCCAATCCATTACCACCCACGATTCCAGTGGCAGCAGCTCCAGTTTCGATTCCCTCTCAGGAGAAGGACAAGGAGAATCTCATTGATTTGGGAAGAGAATCACCAGCGCCAGTCCAATCCCAGCATGTACCAGCTGATCTCCTGGCAGCTCAGACGCAAAATAATGGGCAGCAACAAAAGGATCTTGAGCGAATCCTCCAGTCCACTAGTACGGTCCAAGGTCAGAACCAGGGTTCATTAATCGACTTTCATGATGATCTAAGGAAAGACTTACCAGCAGCTACTGACACCCAGGGAACGGCCACCTCTACTCTGTATCGACAGGATACAGATACTCACAGTGTAGACGAGTTTGTAGATGCTGAGGGATGATTCGAGAAAGGAAGGTGCGGTGGGATGTCGGAATGAGCTGAGCTTAGCCAATGCATAAGTTCACATGTGATACCTAGTGCCACCAAAGCTGAGAAGTTCAACCCGCTTTACTATCAAGATTTCCTTTTTCTTCCATGGTCAAAAAGGGCAGGGCAAGGATTCACACGTGCACTTGCGCTTGCAATTTTTGGAAGTTCGGATATACTACTAGATTGGACGGGCGGGGGTCAACCTGTACCTTTGTTATATATGTTGGGATTTTTGACAGTCTGCGATGAGATTGCTGGATGGGAGAATGGATTGAGGAAATAATCATGCAATGGAATGAACTGGCTGCATGGACGGATGCTTAACTAATGAAATACACACAACTTCTATTCTACCTGTTTTTGACACTAACTTCACGTCAATACACGCATGTGCTTTTGATATCTTTTTATTTGCGTTTTTATCAAATTTTTGATGTAGTTATTATACATGATCAGCCTCATGCTGCTTCGCTGTGTTTTGCTTTTGCGTCTTGCTTTAATATTCCCCAGGTTATTGAAATGAATAGATGACCATGAAACGCCTTGTATGAATACAAATTCATAAGATCCCCAGTGCCTCGTACTAAAGACCCTACGCTCTGCATAATCATGTCAAATTTTCTATGGATGATTCCACCGATTCCATAGTTAAGATTTGCGGCGAAAAATTGGCGTATATCCACTATGAACTGAAAACATGACAGAGTGTGCGTCTCGTTTTGTCTGTAGGGTGTGAAAGTAAAAACGAAATAGCGGTAAGAGATTTCGAATATCCGTACGTGTTTTGGGAAGTATCCATTAGCATCATCGTTCTCCTCCCAAGAAGCATTCCTCGACTATCTTCGCCCCAGCTCTCAATGCGCCCATCACCCTACACTCTCCCATCTTTATTTTCACCTCACGCATATCTCTTCCTCGTAGGCTCGGGACTAGGACTTCTCGTTACGCTCCTCTCATCTCTCCCCCTCATCCTCAACCACTTCTTCGTACTCAACTCCAACTCGCGATCTAGCTCATCGCTCGGATTCTTGCGATGGATGAAATTGCAAAATCCGCCACGCACGCATCCTTCGCCGCTGTTGAGCCGACAGCATGCTTCGCGGAAATCGGTGACGGGGGAGAGCTCGCAGTAGATTGGCCGAGCGGCATACCAGCGGGAATTCAGTGCGTCGCAGGCTTTTTGCGCGGAATCTTCGTATTTGAAGCGCGCGTACACGTTTCCGATGAGATCTGTCAGGGAGATGTTAGTTTTCGCCTATTGGACAGTTTTCTTCGGGAAACGGGGGGAGAGGGAAGGGGAAAATGAAAATGAAAATGGATGAAGAACACATACGATCATTATTATTATCACACACGACGACCTCTTCAATCTCGCCAAATTTGCACATCTCGCACCAGAAGTCCTCGTAGAAGGCATCGAAGTGGTTTTGCAACTGCGACGCATTCATCTTGTTTTTCGGGTCGTAGGCGGGATTCTGGTAGAGGTTGGGGAGGAGGATAGTCTGCGAGTACGAGGGCTTGACGTGCTTGCGGGAACAGCGGTCGCCGTGGCGACAGGCGCCGATTTTGTAGTAGAAGGAGCAATTGACCTTGTCGGCTTCAGTGCCGAAGATGGAGGCGAGGTAGTTGGCCATTTTGACGATGTGAGATGTGGTTCGGGCGGAGGATTATAGCTGTAGATACGAATCAAGTTTGTGAAGGTTTGTATGTTGAATCTGTGTATGGCAATTGATGGAGAGGTGAAACAACTCTCTTGAGCTTCAATGGTCGTCTCTTGCTGTATGAAAAGTAGCAGAATACACAATGATGAGTATGCGTCGATAGCAATTTGTCTGTATACAAAATGAGGCGCGCTTGATAATGTTGAAAGTTCCTGATATCTATGAACGGTCCGAGCTTCTTAGCGTTAGCGCGCTTTTTTTGTAGCTTGGTGGCTGACTAATCGTAGATTCGCCTGCCTTCTCGAATCGAAATGTGGATTTCAAATCAAACTTCACTTCACTCTAGACTTTATTCATCGCAAGATTAGCCTCATGGTCACATGTAGCACTGTGAGTACAGATCACAAAGCGCTTGTTAGATCATTTTGGAGTTTTACTTGGAGCTGATAGATGGTGATATAATCTCTTGTCTAGTATTATAGTATTGTATTCCTCGAATCTCTTCAAAGCTTGACATTCTCCATGCTACCAGTCCAGTCGATTATATTCTCTGTTTTTACAACAAGCAATAGTCACTGCACTTAGACCACACAATGCATTGGATGGACCTTTGATGATAATAATAAAGATAGCAGATATGATATGTTCAAGTCTATGCTGGGCAGTCCCATCAAAGTACTATGGCATGTCCTGCAGTAATCTCAATAACTATCCTCGAATGCTAAAATTGCAAATACTGTGTCACAACTGTCAAACTAATCTCCTTTCATTGTTCTCGCCTCGGGTGCAATTCCTCCTAGTCAGCACTCTTATTACATAGTTTACCAAATGCCGCAGCAGCCTTCTCAAATACATTCTTCTTCTCGGGTGTGGCGATCACAGCTTTTTGCTCACCGTCCTTTTCGTACCGTTCAAAGCTATACAACTCATCGTGGAGTTGCAGTTCCGATAATGCGATATTGTTACTGTCTGATTGTTCCTCGATGCGTTGGACAACTCTCAGCTCCTTAGGTTGTAAGCGACCGATGCCCTGTTCGAAGCGGATCTTTACTGCGACTATATTTCCTGCCGACCCTCCTTCACTCCAAGTGACCATGAGATCTCCCTTGTTCCCAGGAAATGCCCAGGGGTGAGCAAACATATGGGCTGTGTATGCAAACTTTTGTATATGGCCCAAAGGGTATGCTTTCATCAGTTCGACAATTTCGAATGGGCCCCAAGGATTAATAGCTCTTCCGAACATTAACTTGCTATCTCCTGTACGAGTGCAACCGACGAAACCAAACCTGTATGGTGAAGCCTCCCCGAACAATTTTGTGTCGAATATTTGCCCATGTTGATAATTCTTGAGAACTGGCCAGGAGAAGAAGTGATTTTTGACCCAACCTCTTCCACCCCCCAGTACTCCCAACAAGCTCTTGCATTTGCCAGCTCTAAAGGTACACGACCTAGTACCACGTCATAATCTCCATTGTGATCGCCACCTTTATGTCCGTAGGCGTATAAATATTTTCCATCAGAGAGAACAGAGAAAGTTCCAAGTCGAGGTTCACTGGGCTATCGTTTTCTTAGTGATCTTTCGTATTGAAATAGAATTGATAGACTTACGTAAAATAAGATGCGCTCGCTCCAGCCAGCCATCTCACGCTTCGCTACAATAGTTGTTGGATTGGTCCGGTAATTAACCTCTACGGAAGCTATACCGACTGCTACAAGAAAGGTCGATCCATCCTTTCTGATACCTCTGTATTCGAAGAATGTCCATCCATATGCTGCTGCACCGGTAATAAGGTACCATGCAATTCCACCGGTAGCCCAGAACACCTTATTATCGTTTTTCTTGTCAAGTTCATCCTCGAAGCGCTTGAACAAGCTTGGGATTTGTCTCTCGGTGATTTCAACATTGATTGATCCTGGTGGCGCCAGGTATCTCGACATGACCGGGTTTGTGGGATTGGTGAGAAAGGAGAGTGTAGAATCGGTTCTTCCTAAAAATTGACCGGCTGCATTGTGGCAGAATGTGTTGTTGAATTGGAATAGCACATGTCCGTTTGGCAATGCACTCGATCTACCTCCCGTTCTAGGATAGGAATTCCCGCTCTCTGAGATAGTCTTAGATCGTTAGTTTCTATGAAGAATGCTGCTTCAACTTACCATCGTATAAATAACCCAGTGGGACAACATGCTTGATGATAGGGGGCCATACGACATATTTCGACATTTCTGGTGTTTCTTTGTGAGTTGTCGAAGCCATCTGAACGGAAGTAATGAGGAGCAAAAAATTTCTTTTTGTAATGGTCACTGGGCAATAAGCTGTTCTCAATGATGTTGTTGTATGAAAAGCTTGCAGTTGCAGGAAAAAGCGAAAGCTCGCTTCCCATAGTTCTTGCTATATTCTATTACTTTAAAGATGAATCGCAGAAAGATTGACCTTGATGAACACTGAAGCTTTAGGCAACCCACTAGTCTCTAGAACTTTCTCTGAATTGGCTATTTCGTTCCAAAACTCTATCGGCATTCCCTTGCTGTTTCGTCTCTGCAGAACTATGCGCCATTCTATAACTCATTTTCAATATCCTTCCTGCAAGATTACTTTTCCTCTACTACTTAAGGGGCTTATCGGCGATACAACCAAAGCTCAAAGAATATAACCGAAGGGATATTGCATTTAAGGTAAGTGCAGATAACAAAAATAGCTCATTTCAGGAGATATACCTGTGTTTAAGCGATATATTCACCATCAAGCTCCGGATCAGGATGAAAAATCTCCTAGATCAAAGCATTTAAATGATTGCTTCCTTCGTAATCAAATCAAGTAATCAATCGGAAAGGAAGTCTATTCTCATCGACTTTATCAGAACAAAAATCAAAATTTTGTACATCGCATCCACATGATTGTTTGCCACGATCTAGGCAAATCAACTCGAAAATGACTTCAAATTCTCAGAGGAGGGCGCAGTAATTTTGTCCTGAAATTTTGGACAAGGGATCACAAAATGAAGCAGTTTCTAGATAATGTACGTATCGCTTAGATGATACTGGGTTGATATTCCCTATTGCTTTTGTCCATTCTTGTATATAGGAAAGTAAATACTCATTTGCCGTTCTTCTTTTCTTCTCGCTGACTTTCAACCACTTGGATGTCGGCGGTGTGACCGAAGAGATGAGATTTGTCTTTCAATGCGGTTTATCAAGGAGTATCTTTAACAGATGATAAATTCTTATAACCTTATGTATTTGATAGCAAAGAAAGCCATGCCTAGCTAAATCGAAACCTCTAGAATACAAGGAAACAGTGATTTGAATGAATCTTTCCGAGTCATCTATATGTTCGATACCCTGCCGAATGAGAATTTAAATGTTATCCCCAGATCCTGTAATGATGTCGGTTACACCGGAAGAAGATAAACGTGAAGTCACAGTTTTAAGATCGAGATGGATTGTGAAACCTCTGGTATTTCTTGTATGCTTTACTATTTAAAAATCTACAAAAATATGCATATACTCTACTCTAGCTTCAAAGTCTCAAATTGCTTAATAGTCTCCTCAAAGCCACGCTGTTCAGTTTCAAGATCTCCCAGCTTCTTTCTCTCTATCTCTTGCAGCTCCTTGCTGACTTTCTCTTGATAAGCGGGGTCATCAAGAAGTTTTCTCTGTTTCTCGATACCTGTGCGAGTCTTCTCTAGCTTCTTGGCTGCCTTTTCAATCTCACCATCAATGTCTACACGACCCTTGACGTGCAAGAAAACAGCAGCAGCGGAAGACACGGAAAATACTACACACCCAGCTGGGCGAGCATCGGTGGAGGAGAGTACTTCCAAGGATGATACGCCTTTACCGGACAAAGACTTAATTGATTGGACTTGAGATGTGATGGTGGAGTGGGAGGTAGTATCATAGGCTTGGACGAACACTGGAACTGGTTAGTATTACATTCATGTACGATAGGCTGTTATTGATGACTTACCTTTTCCTTCATCTTTAAGCGAGTACTCGGACATCAATGATCGGATACCCCTGGATACAGCCATTACAAGTTCGTAAGCTGCTTCAGAAGCCGGGTCGTCTAACTCTGCCTCATAGACTGGGTATTTTGCAAGTACAATAGATGGTGTCTTATCTTCTGGACGTCTAGGAAGACGTTGCCAGAGCTCTTCGGTCAAGAAAGGCATGTAAGGATGAATCATGGTCAAAGCACCTTCGAGAGCAGTATACAGAGTATCAGTAGCAGATCTCTTCTCCTCGTCAGTGCCGTCCTGGAGGATCGCCTTTGAGTTCTCAATGTACACATCGCACAGCTGGTTATACCAGTATTGATAGACCGCAGTTGTTGAACGCATGAACTCACGATCTTCAAGGTTTTGGTTGATTTCTTTCGCAGCCATTGTCATCTTATGTAAGATCCAGCGTTCAGACAAGGACTCCTTGCCAGTGAGTTTTGCAGTCTTGTTTGGAACAAAATCTGCAGGCAATTTACCAACCACGTATTTTGTCGCTTGGTAGATCTTGTTGCAGAACTTTCGATAACCATGAATGACCTTAATGTCGAATGCAATGTCTCCACCACCGGTTGTGTAGGAAACCAATGCAAAACGCAAAGCATCTGTACCACATTCAGGAATACCGTCAGGGAAAGCGGTTTTCTGATACTTCTTTGCTTTTTCAACTTCCGCTGGGGCAAGATTACCAACCAAAAGCTTGGCATGTAAGTCTTCAAGTGCGATACCTTGAATCACATCTTGAGGGTCAATGACGTTACCCAAAGACTTCGACATCTTTCTACCATCAGAGTCGCGGACCAAAGAATGACAGTATACCTCTGTAAATGGTACTTTACCAGTCATTTTGATACCGAACATGATCATTCGAGCAACCCAGAAGAACAAGATGTCCCAGCCAGTTTCGAGTACTGACGTTGGGTATAGTTTCTCGAAGTCACTTGTTTTCTTTGGCCACCCCATAGTGGCAAAAGGCCAGAGACCAGACGAGAACCAGGTGTCCAGGACATCTTCATCTCTCTTGAGCTTAAAAGTTTTACCTGGAAGAGCCTTCTTTGCCTTGGCCTCTGCTTCTTCTTCTGTTCTACCGGCGAACCACCGATCACCATTACTCTCATCATTCTCATCACCTTCGATTTGAGCAAAGTACATAGGTGCTTGATGTCCCCACCATAATTGTCTAGATAAGCACCAATCATTGATGTTCTCCATCCATCGGAGATAACTCTTTTCGGCTGATTCAGGCTTGATCTTGATCTCACCTGACTTCACAACCTTGATGGCTTCATCTGCCATTTCTCTCATCTTCATCCACCATTGTGGCTTTAACATTGGCTCGATGACATCCTTTGACTTTTCACAGAGTGGAACAGTCATAGGATTGTCTTTCTTGTCAACATATAGACCAGCCTTCTTGAGGTCCTCCTGAATGGTGTAACGAACGTCGAAGCGTTTTTGTCCAGCATAAGGACCAGCATTATCGTTCATTTTTCCATCATCTGTCAAGATATTGATGAACTCAAGATTGTGGCGTTGACCGAGAGCAAAATCGTTAGGATCGTGAGCTGGAGTGATCTTAACAGCACCGGTACCAAAGTCCTTCTCAACATATGTGTCGGCAACAATTGGCATTAATCGTCCTTCGATGAAAGGATGAATGGCATTCTTTCCAACAAGGTGTGTATAACGGGTATCATCAGGATGGACTGCAATACCAGTATCACCCAGCATAGTTTCAACACGAGTTGTAGCAACCTCAATCTTTTCCTCAGATCCTTCAATCTGATATTGGAAATGAACGATGACTCCAAATTCCACCTTCTTATCGTATCCTGGTACATCAATGAGGGTACGGCCCGCAAGCTCTTTATTGGTTACCTCGAGGTTCGATAGAGAGGTGTTGAGTTTTGTGCACCAGTTCACAAGTCTGTTGGCTCTGTAAATGATACCCTCTTCATGTAGTGAAACAAAGGTTTCTGTGACAGCAGATGAGAAGTTCTCGTTCATTGTGAAAGCTTCACGGGTCCAATCAAAGGATCCACCCATCCTGCGGAGCACAGCATTGATTTTCTTGTGATATTCATCCTTCCAATCCCAGACAGTCTCAACAAACTTTGGTCTTCCAAGATCATGACGAGTCTTCTGCTCACGGCGCCACAGCATATTCTCAACAACGCTCTGAGTCGAAATACCAGCATGATCACATCCTGGAAGCCAGAGCGTCGTCTTACCATGCATACGGTTCCAACGGATGAGTAAATCTTGCAAAGCGTTGGGAAGAGCATGGCCCATATGTAGATTTCCTGTAACGTTTGGCGGAGGCTCAACAATTACAAAGGATCCCTCTGGCTTAACTTCTCCGTCTGCCGTGAACTCGGGCTTGAAGAAGCCTTCCTTCTCCCACCATGAGTACCAAGCTGATTCGACGGCGATTGGATTGTATGCTTTGTATTGAGGATCATCGAAAGATTTTATAACTACGCAAAGTAATTAGCTTGATAATTGAATGTATGCTGTCAGTTGACATACTCTTCTTTTCTCCTTCTGGGGTATCCTCGACATATTTTGGCAGGACTTCCTCGGCAGCCTTCTTCTCAGCCTTGGCTTTCTTTTCCTTGTTCTTGCTTGGTACAGCTGAAGCAGCGCTTGCTTTTTGAGCTTGCTTTTTTTGGTCAAACTTGGCTTGCTTTTCTGCCTTTTTGCGTTCCTTCTCAACTGCGTGGTGAACAATTAGTTTGTGGGACCTTTTAAATTTAGATGGAGTCCATACGCTCTTTCTCGCTCTTTACTTTCTTTTCTCCCTCACCAGCTACAGGAGCTGCATTCTGTCCTGGGACATGCGAACCAGTTACGCTGGATTCTGCAGCGTCTGCAAGTGCAGCTTTGGTTTCGTTTGAGACTTTGGGTGGTTGTCCTGTTACTGGACCAGTCTCTTCCCCGACTGTCAATCAGTTATGGTCAGCTTCAATACTCAGGTAATTGGCAATGTTTTTAGTCCTCACTTGGATTGTATGACGCAGGGTTGGTAGCCATTTTGACAATGGGAGGAAGGTCGATGTTACTTCTGTAGGGCGACCTGCGCACACAGAGTGCCCTGAGCAAAAGTCGAAATCGGTTTCTGTATAGAACTGCAGAGAATCAAACGAAGCTTAGGGATACTTCGAATGTTGTTTTGTTTTGGCACTTACAATCTCCAAAATAAAATGCGATAAGTTGTGACTCGAATTTGGGCGACAAACCCCTCGTGTGGCTTGTGCATGCACCACCATACAAGCCACACGAGGCTGGTGTGGACGTTGGAGCTGTGGCATTTCGCATCTTCATTCACCTGCGACATCCATTTTTATCACAGTTCGTTCTTTTTCTCATTGATGTTTTTTTTTTTGCATATTTTACTATGTTTAGTATCCATCAAATTCTTTCAATGATGGTATTAATGTCTGTATGAGACAGATAAACAAAGAAGCTAAGAAAATTTATATTTTTATCAGGTAGTACTTGATCAGACGGTCATCCGTTCATTCATTTGTCGGCTCCAGACCCAAATCATTTTCATGTTATGAATCTCAGATCGATCTGATCCTTGGAGAAGATTCAATAGGCAAGATGGCAGCAATCAAGCCTTTATCAGACTCAACAATTCATCTTCTGGGTTCATCTCAGGTTCTTACCACACCTACATCTCTCATCAAGGAGCTCATTGACAATGCCCTCGATGCCAAAGCTACGAGCATCGATATTCTTATTTCTCATAATACCATTGATAAAGTAGAAGTTCGTGATAACGGTCATGGTATTCAGCCTGATGATCTCGATGCATTAGGAAGACGCGGTCACACTTCTAAATTGACAACCTTTACGGAGCTCAGAAATATTGGCGGCAGAAGTTTGGGGTTTCGAGGAGAGGCACTGGCATCGGCTTGTCAACTTGGTGATGTCTCGATAACCACTAAGATGGATGGACAACCAGTTGCAACGTGTGTAAAATTGAAGGCACTGGGTGGGATTCAATCACAATCTCGAAGTTCACATCCGACTGGAACAACAGTATGTGTGATGAATTTTATGTCAAAGCTACCTGTCAGAAAACAAACAGCCCTGAAAGAAGCCCCGAAAACGATCGGTAAAATCCAAGAGTTGATACGGAGGTATGCCCTAGCACGAATTTCAGTAAAGCTTACCCTGAAGATTGTAAAGGGTACCAAAGGTGCATGGTCATACTCACCTCGTCCAAACATTGTTATCAAAGATTCAGTATCTCTTGTCATTGGCCGAGAAGCTGCTGTCCAATGTTTTGAAGCCTCAATGATATTCCCTGCATCTCCTGACTATGAAAATGATACATCCGAGGGCGCGGATATCCCAGCCGATATCAATCCTGCAAACGACATGACAACTTCTCATTTTCGTCTTGAAGCTTTCCTACCCCGACCTGATGCAGAGCAGAGTAAAATTGGATACGGACAATATTTCTCCGTCGATTCTAGGCCGGTAGCCTCCGACAAAGGGACCATGAAGAAAATTACAATAATTTTCAAGAAACATCTCCGAAGTAGGCTGGCTTCAGGTGCTCCTTCAGAGAGACTTAAGAATCCGTTTTTGCGTCTCAATATTGTTTGTCCGAAAGCAAGTTATGATCCCAATGTTGAGCCCGCCAAGGACGATATCATTTTCGAGAATGAGACGCTTGTGTTGGAAGCGGCGGAGAAGATGTTCAAGGGTTGTTACGGAGATTGCGGTATAGTCATGTCTGAAGTAGCAAGAAACAATACTGTAACCCAGCCCACTGGATTCGATATACTTCTTGCCCGAACTCCTCAACAGGATTCTCCACCACCCTTAAGTGTTGTCAACGCCTCATTGACGCCCAATAATACACCTCCAGCCTCTGCCACAAATTCAAATTCAAAGACCACTTCCGAAGTCTGTCCCAATATTGCAGGTGATACGTTAAATATCGCAGAGCCCGGTAATTATGAACCTTTTGATGAAGCAACCACCCTCGGAGGGAAGCGAAAATGGGGATGTGATATGTCTCACGATTACACAGAATGTACAGATGATTTTAATCCTCGAATCTCTGTCAATAAATCGCAGAAGCAACTTGACTTAAACAGCAATCAGCTGCCTGTTTCTAAGGAGTTGAATCCTTGGGTCATTGCTAAAATGACTGCTCCAACCAGCACAAATTCGAGTTCGGTGATATTGCTTGATTCGATCGAGAATAGTTCAGTTCCATCCGTGTCGCCACGTGCAGTTACTAATGTTGTTCCACCAGTACAAGCTAGCCACTTTGGCGAAGTCAGTACCAGCATAGCAGATGTTCTACATTCACACTCCAATTTTAAGAGCCAAATGCACGGTAACCCTATGACTCCGGCCGATCAATCAGATTCAACAACTGAAGGTGATGTATCAGTAGTTCAGCCTTGGCATGATCGTCTCGACAGTAATGGGTTCACCACCGCTACAAATTTTGCTAGAAATCCTTTAATGTCGCCACCAAGTACATCTCCAAACGTGCAACTGCAGAAGCAAACAAGAGACCGAGGACCTAACAAACCGTTTGTACCTCCTTCTCGAACACCGCAGTCTAGCAGTGTATCATCTGGTCATGTTCAAACACAATTAGGAGCTCGTTATCAGCCCTTTCGAATACAAAGAGAAGCGTGTGATCAACTTGCTGCGACTACAAGTCCAGTACTGGAAGTCCAAACACAACAGCCAAACCTAGAGCTGGAGTGGGCTATGGACTTTGAACATAGAAAGGAGAGTGCCACTCGACGTCGCAGGGAGGAGCTCCAAGCTATACGAGAAGCATTTCAACAGCCACCCGCTACAAGCCAAGCTTCTTCTCGGCCATCTCCTCACAAAAATCGTTACAATGCTGCTTTAGCCAGCCTTGAGATGTCTCAAGAGAGTCCGAGGGAGAACTCTTCCTCTGCGAACAGCGAAGGCGTCTATACCACTCTTCCAAATAGTGATCCTCGAGGTTACCTGATGAAGCGACAGAAATCATTTTCCGTTCTCTCGAGCATCACGGGAGGCCCTCGGAAGTTGAAGCGAGCTCAAACTTTACGCCTTCCCCTAGAATCGATACCTGCAGACTTACAAATTCATCGACTCATTCAGACGGTTGAAAGTGGTGTGGATGGAATCTCAAAACTTGTCATGGAGACATCAAAACAGGATATGTATGTTCGCCGTGGGATTCAAGCCACTGGCCTTGAGATGACTACCACGGATAGAGATGCTGTGGGAAAAAAATTGTGTCAAGTGGTCGAAGCGTGGATGAAGTCGGATAGAGGGGAAAAGTGCGATGTGGAATTTGTATTTGGTGGGCTGGAGACGCTTAGTGGTGCTTAATATGTGCTGTAGGAATATGGATTGCGAAGAAAGATATATATGGCGTTTTGCTGGATTCGAGATACCCTCTTGCTTTCGGGGCGTTTGTGCGCACTACCTAGATATACTTAGATCACTGAGAGCATTTTATTGCTATGTATTTGGTAAGCCATTTACTTGTATTATATAGAAAAGATCTCTACTGCTTTACAATACATGAGACCAACACCTGGATGCCGAACTTCCATTGTACAAAAGAATAATCATCATAAAATCTTCTCGATGCTCAGAGACTTGGAGTTTTTTGTGTTCAATGAACTTTCAGAGTGTCCAATTGGGCAATTTGGCACCTATTTAATGTTATGAGATTAAAAGAAACGTATATTCATGTATTAGCAGTAGATTCTTAATAGATTCTGTCTATCTCTAGCTAATGCTACGCCGGCCATGTATATCTATATGCACACAATAAAATCTGGTCTATAAATTGGTATCATATCGTATCATCATCAACCACCAGAACTCCCTTACTTATGCAATCAGTACCATACTATGCTCCACTCCTTGCACCTATACCTATACCAAATACCTTCCAGATCCAAACCCTATCAAGCTTTCTTAGGAGCCCAATTAGCCAACCATGTCCTAGCCTTATCAAGATTTGCACCCTCTGCCTCACAAGCCGCAATACACCACTCCAACTCCCAACCTCCAGGCTCCATGGCCAACATCTCAGCCAGATTTCTCCTCTTTTGGTTTCCTTCGTCGACACAGAAATACATCGGTTCGGTCTTATCCTCTATTTGGGCTACTAATGGTTGAACAAGTGGAAGGGCATCTTTCATCGCTAGTGTTGCTTGAGGTCCCTTGGCTTCTTTCACTCTTGCAGTCTTGCAATAGATATTTGTACACCATTTTTTGCCGCATCCGGTGATCATCTGGCTCAGATACCTTCGTTCCACGCGGCGTTTCATTGCCTTTCCTAATGGGTCGTGCATACTAGCGTATAATGGACCGAAGCAGATACTGCAAAGGCCCAAATCATTACCAGGTCCTTGGCCCATTCTCGATCCAGCGCCCACTTCCCCATTCTTGCCGACGCCTTCTAGAGTTCTACCGCAGATGGCATTTCTACAGATTGCTGGCTTGAATCGGCTATTCTTTTCGAGCTCGTGATGTTTAAGATGGGTGGCCATATCTCGAAGTCGAACGATTTTGCTGCAGAGGTGACATTCCGTAGTTCGAGCTCCATCTGCAAGCTCGTGTGCTGTAAGTCCGGATATAAGACTTTCGGGAGACGGATCAAAGGGGTCGCCCTCTTGAGGAACTTCAAGATGGCAAAATTGACACAGAATAATCTTGCCAGGACATACAGACGTACGGTGAGTAGCAAGATCCCTTAAGTTTGTTGCTTCGTAAGGGCAATTGGGACATTGCCGAGCTTCGTGAAATATAGAGTCGTGTTTGCTTTTGCTTTCTGACGAATTTCCATGGGCCGAGTCATGAGGACAATGCCAGTGATTCAGCCATTCTGGAGATTTCTTCTGAAAGACGCTATCGCAATGAGGGCATGAGATATTATTGCGGAGACAAAAGTTCTCATGAAGCATCATTGTCCGCTTTGGCACCCATTGATGACAATTTTTGCATTGCTCCTCATCAGATCCATGCAATTCGGTATCTTCTTCGAGCGAGATTGGGTTGCTTGGAGCCCCGTTGCTTGCCCCTTTTTCAAGCGATTTTACTTTAATGGAATACTTCCGTGGTCCATGCGATAGCTCACAACCTGCTCCGGTTCCTCGACAGTATATAGAAATCAACATGGCATCAGCTCCGTCTAATTCCACATTTGATTGTTGTATGGTTATTCTCTTGATTTTGTCACTTGAGAAATCTCCGAGAACATGTTCATCTTCTCGTGGTTTCGCTCTTTGATGAGCTGATTGAGGACTAATGAATATCTCCACATCACCATCACTATCGTCCTCGAGCGAAAGCTCAATGTCAAGGCCATTTGATCGATCCCATGAAGGTAAAGTATAGTCGACATAATCGCCTTCTGCGACCTGTCCTTGTAAAGCTTTCCATAGATCTAATTCTCCGCCAATTGAACTTCCTTGGGCCGTTCCTGGAGCTTTTTGTGCCTTTGTCATGATTTGCTTTAAGGTTTCTCGAGCCTGTTCTTCATTCAAAGCCTCAATATCGACCTCTAGATCCGTATCAACGACGCAAACAGCATCTCCTTCTGGCGCAAACTTATCAATCAGAAATCGGAACTCCTCCGACTTTGAACCCCGAACCATCAATATTTCACCTTTTGTTAAAGTTGTAAAATTTTCTCGCATGTGTTTTTCGAGCAATGATTTCCAGTCTTCGGGATTATAACCAGCCTCCAATGGCCTTAACCTCACGTATGTACCTTTGGGTAATTGTTTCGCATGCACTGTGATCTGCGCCGGTTCCTCGGTTTCGCCTGTAAGGTCTATCGTCCCGTCACCCGTGAGGTCGATTGCAGGGTTATCTGTAAGATCTATAGGCGTATCGGACGATCCTCTCCTATTTTCAGCCCTTGAACTTGGTGGTGTTGGTTTTGGTATGGGCGCAGTGATTCCCAATGACTCTAGCAAAAATGGACTTAGGACAACTTCTCCTTCATCTGCCGAGAACTCTCGAATTCCTGCATATACGACATTGCCATTCTTCGAGTTGACGAGCCTAAACGTGAGAGGATGGGGAAGTTGTTGTTGGGTATCTCTCCATTGTGACTGTTCTATGCGAGCCGCTGCCAATGAATATGGATTGAATGGATCGAATGCGACATTGTTTGAGCGACTATTAGAATTGACTGTGACTGTGGATGCCGATAATAGTTGTTCCAGAGCAGATTGGGGTAATAGTATCTTGTCCCCGGGCAGAGAGACGTTGTCTTTTGGGGCGACTTTATAGACTGATGACCACGTTAAAGAGATGTCTGGAGTTGCTGCCATCATGTCCATGAAGAACAGGACAGGAACCTGTTATATTGAGTTTCCTCTAATGTAACTCGAAATACTTTATTCTCAATGGGAGGTATCAAAGAAATCTTCCAACTCTTTAATTTTGTATTTTAGAAGAGCTCTGAATTTATGCACTTGACGTGGTACTGTACTGTACTGTATTGTAGAAACTTGTTGATTGATATGTCAGATAATGCTGGATCCTTCTATGCCGAAGACAATCCCTGTTCATTTCTTATCGATAAGAGTACGTGATTATGACTGTGGCTAGTGCGGGTACTTGAGACCTGATCTGCAGAAACCCTGTCACTCCAAAGCACAAAGGCTGGAAAGATGGTTTTGATTGTCAAGGTCTGAATAGTAGATTGGACAGTAGACATTTCTGAAAGAATATTTAGTTGTTGAATCTGAATTGGGAGATTGAAGAATGTTATATCTCCATTTTGGTATTCGGGCCATCTGTGGCAGTGGTAAGCTAGCCTAAGTGGCGCTAGCATTAGCACCTGACTAACTTCAACAGAAAGATTGACTTCCAAGGCTTGAGAGATCGATCTTGAATTACTTCATTCAATAGTATTTACATTTAGTTTCTTTGATCGCTTTATCAGTTTGTCCAGTTTGTTTCGGAGATATTAGCACATCTTGAACTCCTCATATCAAGGGATTCCTCTCCTCCTAGACTCAATAGGTACTTCAATGGAGTTCGAATCTCAAGATACTACAGATAGCTTACCATCTTCTCTCTTGCAATTATTATCAAATACTTTGGTTCTTTATCAAACTACTCCTTATCTCCCAATTTCTTCCCTTCTGGCTCTCGGAGCTACCTCAAAATCTTTCAAAGAGCTCATTCACGAGACCCCTCATGTTTTCCGTTATTTGAAGCTCTCAGACGTCGAATCTGCAAAGTCCGGAGTTGGACCAATTGACAATGGAGGACAGAACTGGAGAAATGTACAACTAGATGAGAATGTAACAGAAGATGAGTTCGTTTTGTCACTCCTAACTCCGGACTACTGCTGCGTATTGACATGTTCATAGCTTTTATGGTGGCCCACTGAGAGGCATCTTCAATCACCTCCGCCGTCGAAATCTACTACTTGATGTGGAGACTTTGATATTGGACGGCCTTTCAGTCCCTTCCGACTTGGTAAGCGAAATCATCCTGAACGATTCGTACAATGTTCGCATCTTATCAATCCGCGAAGTACAAAATCTTAACGAAGGAAAACTGAGAGGTGCGCTCAAATATTCGTGTCGCCCTTCGAGACCCAACAATACTCCTCGGCTTCAAGGGCTATATATCTTTGGTTGCAAGGATGCTCCACAAGTTGTGAAACGTCGAAGGCATGTGAATAGGTATCCTGCCGGTATCGCGCCTATAGACACAATTCCCAATTACGGAGTGAGGTCTCCAGGAACCAATCTTGGAATGCACTGGAATCGAAGATCCGAAGATGCTTTAGGAGAGGGTGTATTGCGGGGAGGAGGTGAAGTTGGGCACCCAGAATTTGGGAACAGGTTCCCAAAACCCATACACAATGACTGGGCAGATACTATGACCTATTGTGAAGGGATCATCAGTTTTGATGCTGTTCTTTGCAAGGGACCTCGTCACTCTGCAAGCTTACCATCGGACAGTCCTGGTCCATGGTATAACCATACCCAAAATCGCATTGACGGTGCGCGTGTAGCGACTCATCTTCTAGGTGATTGCAGCGGCTGTGGGACTGCTAAAAATGCCTCAATTTTTGGACAGTCGCCCATGGTCTTATTTCCACTCTTGTCACCTGTTCCTCTTCATGCGTCTACTGCCAAGGCAGCAAAAGCACCATTCGAAGGATCCTCATCTCAAGAAAAGCTGATGGTTCGTTGTGTGGATTGTCTACGAACCCGGTACTGCGAAGCTTGTCGCAAGTGGTGGTGTGAGGATTGTTTTGAAGGAACTCAAGCAATCAGCAGTACCAGTAGCTCTCCATTATTGCCTTCCATGGTGCCTGAAGCGGAATCTAGTAAGGTACATATGGATTTTTGTGTTAGAGATTGTCTACTATCTGCAATGATATCTCGTGATAGAAGCAGGAAGATGTGGAATTGAAGCAATTTCACCGTGGCAGAACAGAAGCTCCAAGTTATTCATTTGGTGCTTCATTCTTAGGGCATCTCAATTACTTTCAATCTCTCAACAATTGTATATCTAGAATCTGACGTTGTCAACCTTCACGGAGATCAACTAACGAAAACTCATAGTTTGGCGTCTCAAAAAGCTGCTTATTTTGCGGACCCAATGTAAGACAACACGAGAACTGGTTATGAGATTCTTCGCTAATGGCGTCGTAGTGTCACGAATGTATACAGAAGACTCAGTTGAGATGCAAGATCTGTAATGGGGGATACTGCACGGTCCATAATGAGGGATCAACTTTAACTACAGCAGGTCGCCATGCAATTGATGGTTGTAGATGTTAATACTGACACGTAACTAGTGCGATTGTATGAGAGAGAAGTCCAACTGATCTCAAAACAAATACCGATGCTAATAATGATAATTAGGGTGCTCACGAAGTGGTAGGCGAACGAGGGAATTATATTGATTCATTCTCGCTTGTCACACAATTCAATACAAAAACGGATATGATCTCCCCTCTGCAGATGCATGATCATTAATCACCGATCATCGAATGGCTCAACCCTACTCTCCACGACGTCTGTAATAATCTCTATTATTCCTTGAGGTCAATCTGTCGGTGTGGGAATAATGTGGGAATCTTTGGAGCTTGATCGTTTTTTCCCCAAACCAACCCCACGAGAATTGATCGATTTTTGCGGGTGGTCATCATTGCAGAATTTAGTCTTTCGGACCGAAAGCGGTTGATATTCGGAGCGGAACCACTACTTCACTCTTAGTCGAATACATGTCCATTGTCCATCTCCTCATTCCAAGTACTTGAAGCGCATTGACTGGTTCCGCTCCATATTTGTATACCCCGTACATATTTCAAGATTTTCTCTCTGTGGGGTCCTAGGCGAGACGCATGTACATATCATATATGCTCTGTTCAATCATTTGTCAAATGACTCAAATCCGAACTCACCGAGCTCTCCGCTAGCAACTGCTTTGTGTATTACGAATCAATTAGAAGCTCGGTTGGAACTAAATGTTGAGATAACCGCTTTTTATTCTATTTGTTTACCAGTAGAGAAGGCGAGATCTTTCAATATTGGGGTCTTATGAGGGGAATAGCTATAGAAATGCCAATGCATCTATGCTCAAAAGTCTAATTTTCACTAGAAATTAGTGACGAAGTAGTCTAATGGATTCCATATTCTACAATACTCCGGCACTCCTCAGGTCTCAATCTGGCACGGTTTAATACTAGTGGCCGGATGGCTAGCATTGGACATCCGTGACTTGCTAGCCATCAAAGATCTAATCAACTCTCTCCGCCGAGGAAGTGTTCAATACAATCAAACAACCCTTAGACAGGCCATAGGACGTCTAGGCCCCGCATACTTTCAAGATGGAGATTCTTACAACAACAACGTACGTAACAACTTTTCTTCTCCGACAGATAATCTGTCATGAGATTATTCAATCTTAAGAATGATTACGGAAGTATCGAGCCGTCCATCGATACTCAACCACTAAATGCAGCCGCATCAACGATTTGCACACGATGATTAGATGAAAGTTAAAGAAAAGTAGGTAACATGAAACTAGACATTTGTTGTTAGGATCTCGGTCCCGATCTCCCTATGGGTTTAAGAATCAATCAGTATGTAAACTCATTTTTGGAATTCATCATAGAACGGCAGATCAATCAATGTCGTAAGTGGCAAGCTTTTCCCTTATCTACCGGCACGGGATATCCGTTCCTTGTGGGGTAATTGGGGAATATCCCGTTTCTTGATTTGATTCCCCTGCATTAGGTGGATTTCTATAGATCAATCATGTCTTTCCCTATAAAATGCCAATGCCCATCGATACCCTAGCAAAAGCTTGGTATAATTTGATCCCAACTTCACACGTTTTCTCATTGAGCAAACGAGAAATATGAGACAATCAGAGATTCGCGATCTTCCTCCCTTCACTACGAGTGATACTGATGTCGAAAAGGTAGAGGACAAAATTCGTCAAGAAGATCGTCGAGAAAACATAGAGCAGGATGCGGATTTAGTTGAATTCGTTCCAAACGATCCAGAAAATCCTCTCAATTGGACTTCGCTGAGAAAATGGTCTATTGTTCTGTCTTTGACGATTGCAAATTTCAGTTGTCTATGGTAAAATTACCTAATGGCTATTGCGGTTGTACATAATGCTAATGTTTGCTCTTCAGGATAGCTTCAGGCTACTCACCTGCAATCCCTGATTTCGAGGAAAGGTTCGGTACTTCAGCTGAAGTTGCTACACTTCCTTTGGTTTGCTATGTACTCGGTTTGGGATTTGGACCTATGCTTTTAGCACCTCTGAGCGAGTACTATGGAAGAACTCCTGTCTATCTGGCCAATTTCTTCATTACTACATTGCTCTTAATCGGTACTGCCTTGGTGGATGATGTCCCCGGATTTATTATCTTGAGGTTTATTACGGGATTCTTTGCTTCTGCATCAATCAGTAAGTACTATGTTACAAATCCTCGAGCACTGTTTACAAACTAACAACTCTCAGCAAATATTGGAGGAACGATCGCCGACATGTTCCATCACGAACATACTGGTATGCCCTTAGCAGTCTACACTGTAACCTCAGCCGGCGGCTCTGCAAGTGGAGTCTTCGTCTTCTCTTTCATCGCCCAATTACACGGCCTCCACGGTGTTCTCTGGGGTATGTGCGGAGCCACTGGTGGATTTTTCCTCCTCCTATGCGTCTCACTCAAAGAAACTCGACACTCCGTGCTCCTCCGTCGTCGCGCAGCTCGTCTTCGCAAAGAAACCGGAAATCAAAATCTTGACGTTCCACTGGACATGCGTACACAACCGGCCACCCAAGTATTCGCTACAGCTCTCACTCGTCCATTTCGTCTCCTGTTTACCGAACCCGTCATCCTATTCACCGCGGCTTACAACGGATATCTCTTCGGCATTGCATTTCTCTTCAACGGAGCCTTCACCGTCGTATTCTCCGATGGCTACGGTTTCAACACCATCCAAACCGGTCTCGCAAACCTAGGCGTGTGCGTCGGGGCGCTCCTCGGTCCCGTCACCCACATCTGGCAAGAACGCTACTATCTCCGCAAAATCACATCCCCAGATGGAAGCATCCGGAATATTCCCGAAGCGCGCGTGCAACTCAGCATGGTGGGCTCCGTCGTCTTTCCCATCTCTCTCTTTTGGTTTGCCTGGTCTGCACAACCCGGTTCCGTACACTGGATTGTGCCGATCATCGCATCTGTATTCTATGGCTGGTCTTTCTACACCATCATTCAAATGACCTTTATGTATATCGAAGATACGTATAAAGTATATGCGGCGAGTGCGTTGGCCGGAGTGTGTTTTGCGCGGAATATTATCGGCGGGACCTTTCCGTTATTTGGGACGCAGATGTTTGATGGATTAGGTGTGCATTGGGCGGGCAGTGTATTGGGGTTTGCGGCGATTCTATTAATGCCCATTCCGTATGTGTTGGGGAGATGGGGGAGAAACCTCAGGAAGAGGAGTCCGTGGGCTCGGGAACATATGGATGATTTGGGGGAGGATGAGGATGTTAAGATGTGAATTAATGAATGAACGAATGAATAATGGGCATTGGAACATTAGATGGGATGAGCGCAAAAAGAACGCGAAATCTTTGGGAAATCACATGCCTGTTTATTTTTTAAAGGCGTTTATATTATTTATATGGAGCATGATAGCGATATTGTTAACTTGTGATGATGAGAGGGAAATGAAATGAGATGAAGTGAGATATGAAAACACATTCTAAAAGATTTCTTGCATTAGACTGACTATACCTCCCAGTGCCCATTCTATCGTTCGTTACAGATAACAACTTGTCTCATCATTATAATGCTTCAAACTGCACGCACAAAACTGTCTAGATTATAGAAGTGACCATATATAGAAGAGGTTCGCGAATACAATCTAATTCACATTATGAACTCTCTTCAGTCGCTTATATGGACTTCACATCGCTGAAATCTGGAAACTTCGCTTCAGTATCCGTAACGTACCATTGGTATCCTCATTTCTGTGATATCAAAATTGCCGCAAGCAAGTACTTTTATTTTATCATCTCTGTTTCGCCTTTGTATTTTTTTTCGTAACTTTATTTTTGTTCCATGCAGAATAACATATACATTCACATGTGGGGCAACAACTGTAAATAGGTATGTAGGTGGATAAAGTGAACAAGCTAAATACTCTCGTTTCTTTTGCAAAATGAAAGCTTATATGAAATTTGTCGTGATATTAATATACCAAGGAAAGAACCTATCATAATGCATTGTTGCTAATTTGTACCATCCCATCATCATTCCCTTGTCTACTCATTCCAAGCCATCTCTCACAACTTCATAACCCGAACCTACAACTGCAATCTGAATGTGCCTACCTCGAAGGGCTTCAATGTGATCGAGACCTTTCCTTCCTTGATCTTAAGCTCTTCTTCATCATCCTCCAAAACATTGGTCTTCCAAACCCTCTTCACATCCAGTGTCGTCTCAATTGTTCCCTTACTAGTTCCACCTAAACTATCGTAGATTCTCAAAATGACACTTTGGCCCTTTCTCTTTGCTAATTCACCACGGCTGACATCCTCGTCATCTTCACCACGCTTAACAGTATCTAGGATCAATGACGGGTCCCCCGTAAGTTTGATTGGACTATCAAATGCGTTGGTTTGAACACCCTTCGAAGCCTTGCAAAGCTTCAATGGATTGTTGAAGTTGAATGCCGTGCGAACGGTAGTCGAGCCAAGACCTCCTTGATGAGGCAGAATAGCCCAACGAATGTGGTGACGACCCATATCTGCATGTGCATCTGGCGCTTTGGGGGCTCGAAGAAGTGACAAGCGCATCACATTGCCACAAGTAGCAAAGCCATATTTGCTATCATTCAGAATGGAAACACCGTATTGATTCTCAGAAAGATCGGCGAATTTGTGACAGCATACTTCGAACTTGGCCATGTCCCAGCTATGTGAAGTCAGTTATATACTCCGGTTACAAATAATGTCAAACTTACGTAGTGTTGTAGTGAGTAGGTCGTTTAACGATACCGAATTGTGTCTCATAGGATGCCTCCGTGTTTCGAATATCAACTGGGAATTCAACCTTGAGGAACTTCATACTTTCCCTCCATTCAACTTCGCTTTCCATTTCAACATAAGATTGTTGACCCTTGAATGCGGCTGACAAACTGATATGAGTCTTTATCCAGCTGTCTTTGCTGATCTTAGTCTCAGTCATTACACTGACTCTGTGGGCATCACTCTGCACAATCTTAGTATTTCCTGCAGGCAACTCCTTGCGGGAATCCAAGTGGAAAACTTCCACATCCCAAGCTTGCCAATAAAGTGGTTTATCATCAAATATGACAAGCTGGTTGGCTTTACCTCCTTTGGCTACTATTTCTCTCTCAGCTTGTAGATCATACAGAGAAGTAATTGCGCCGCCTTCGACTTGGACTTTGAGCTGTTCATTTTGTAGCACAAAAACACCCTCTCTGACTTCTTTGACAGTCACTTCGGGTGTCTCTGCAATCTTGAAAGTCTTAATATTCAAGAGACTGCCTTGTCCACAAGCAACTCCGGCTGTGTTATCGCTAAGTGGCACGATCTCTCTTCTGTGCCATGGCATCGTGTTCAGGGCCACAAGATCGCCATCCTTGGACGAGTCTTCGGCTTGGCCTACACCTAGAGTCTTGTAAAGCTCTTTGAGAATCTTCTCACCAGTCTTAAATACCTTGGCATATAGCTATCACGTGTCAGTATTGTATAAAGCTAAAGCTAAGTGCAAATCACATACCTCATCACTGTCGTCGTAACACATCTCAATAGATGATCCTGGTAGGCAGTCATGGAACTGACACAATAATACAGCCTCCCACATATCGTCAATATCCTCTTTTGGATACTTAAAGTCCTTGGTTTTGAGACTGGCGATTGTTGAGAGAAGTTCAATATTGTGTAGCATAATTTCAGAATTTCTGTTATTACGCTTGTTGTTCGCTTGCGTTCTGGGAAGAGTCAGCATAATAGTTGTGAATGCTAATAGAATGAGACTTACGTGTAGGTTCCACGGTGAAGCTCAAAATATAATTCACCGTACCAGGTCACCAAGTCTAGACCCTCAGAGACCCTTCCCTCCAAGCGATCAAAGAAATCGTCAACGGAGTTACCCATATGAACTCTAGGTATAAGTCCAGTAGTATCGCTCATTCCACGAAGACGTCTGAGCTTCTCAATCATCTGCCACGTTGGTCCTCCACCACCATCACCCTTTCCAAAGACAAGAAGTGACGTCTCATCTTGATCCATAGATTTGTGCTGTGTTACTGATCTTCTTACATCACCGAAATCAGCATTTGCAGTATATGTCTCGGAAGGTGCCATGTGACAAATGACCTGGCTACCATCTAGAGATACCCAATTGAATGTGGTATGTGGGAAATTGTTGATGTTATTCCAGCTGAGCTTTTGAGTGAAGAAGCGTTTCATCCCTGCCAGGCGACACAGCTGAGGAAGTTGACTCGAGTAACCAAAAGTATCTGGTAGCCAAAATGTCTTGGATCTCTCTCCGAAGTTGCTTTCAAAAAACCTTTGACCATACAAAAATTGACGCACGAGGGACTCACCACTAGGCAGATTAGTGTCATGCTCAACCCAACTGCCTCCGACAGGTTGGAATTTTCCTTGTTTGACCTTTTCCTTCACCCGATCAAACACGTATGGATAGTACTGTTTCAACCATTTATACTGTTGAGCCTGGGAGACAGCAAAACGATGCTCGGGGTAACGGTCCATAAGATCACATTGATTCGACCAAGACCTAGCAACTTTTCTTTTGGTCTCAGCCCATGGCCAAAGCCAACAGGTGTCGATATGGCAATGGCCGATACCATAAACAATAGGTTTTGTGCCAGTCTCATAAACCGCAGATGAGTTGATATTCTCACCCAGATATTCTTGTGCAATTTTTCGGCCTTTGATGATTGAATCTTGGTTTCCCAACTCGAAAGCATCAATTATATCATTTGCAACCCTCAATGCTTTATGTTGTTCCCATGAGTCCGATGGGAATTCTTTAGCAGCATCATTAATTTCCCAGATATCAATCCATAAAGCTCGGGCTTCAACGTTTACAGCCACAATCTCGGCCTTTGATAGTTGGAAATATTTATTCGGATTCGGGGGTTGAATGGAGTCGCCACCTGGGGCATTACCGAACATCCCGTTGCAGGCTAGATTTAATATTAGCATTTAGAAATGTATGATCCTTATGTCTTATTTTTATCTCACCCATCTCAATATAGATTGTGTGTTCCTTTCCATCGCGGAAATTATCCGGCAAGACCCATTCAACTCTCTCACCACCTCCGGTCAATCCCTGAAGAGGGTTGCCGTCCTCGGTCCATACCATTCCTTCATTGTTGGCATCCCAATGCAACTCCAATAGATCCTTTTTCTGGAACTCCGACGGGACCGTTATTCCTACTTTGAACCAATGGGTTGACCATGAAGGACCGAAAGCTTCTCCAATGTGTGTTGATCTAAATTCGTGGCTCGTGGCATCTTTGAAGGTGGGTCGAGAAAGGTCCGGAGCGTCCCAGACCGAAAGTTTGATGTGCGGTTCTCCAGATGCGACCCCTTCGTTCAACATTCTATCAACAAGAATCAATTAGCAGATGCAATAAATCAGAGAATTGAAAAGACATACGCTCGTAAGTTGTGTCCTTCATATTGTCCGCCGGCATAGAATTGACCAATTCGATCTTTGTAGAGATTAGATATCAACTTACCCTTAGGTCCTTCGGACCTGACAGGATAGGAGCTCTTGAGCTCTGGCTTTAGTATAGTTTCACCACCCATAATTGGCAATTGGATGATATTATTGACGGATTCGAGATGCGATGATGAACTGAGGAAAGAAAAACAATTGTCAGTTGTAAAGAGTAGATAGTTGATGGTAGAAGCTCAAGCCGCGGGAAGTGGTATCTCTTCTACTACGCCGCTTGTTACGTAGAAGTGGAGTTTCAACAGGGGTAAGCTTCAGGAAAGCGCGGGGGAAAATGTGGAGGTTGGAAGCCGCGAAACATTACGAGTAAATCCAGTGGCACGTGGCACGTGAAAGGGGTAATATGGTAGATCAACAACTCACCTCGACATCATTCACGGACTTCCACAACTGACACAAACTTGATTCAAAGTAGGTTGTCGATATATCAAAGAGGAACACAAGCTGAAGGCTATCAACCAAGATGTTAAAGTCATGAGCACATCAAATACGAAGTTATATTGCATTCCAAGCCTTTGTAAGGGTCATACAAAGATGCGGGGTTGAAGCTGCAGGTACATTGTTTACGTTATGAGAAGATAATGATTCGTCGGCGGTAGATTTATTCGTCGAATAGAGATCTCTCATAATCAACACGGAAAAGGAAATGATTGATATCGTCCAGAACAATTAATGGTTTCAGTCTATATCCAGTCGGCAACTACTAGACGGTGACCGACTATGTGTATCACAATCCTCATCAATCATTGGCCAGTAGTATTCACGCAACAGAATCACAATTCTCGTCCAACAAAACACACTTTGACTGGAATGAGAGTATTTATTATTACATGATATCCATATACACATTTGATACCTGTGCAACAGGAAGTCGGCCTCTGTTTGACCTTCTTGAAAGCATAGCGTTAGCCATACCATGCTACAGACAATACTCCAGCCTGGCCCCCCAAAACCGCAGTCTATTTGAAGCCCTGGGAAAGGACTTCTGTATTGCTTTCTCCCACATTCTATAACTTTATGTTCATATCAAAGCCATTCAGATGTTCGTCCGTCTATTCACAAAAGCAATTAGTATTGTGCATGCCAGAATCACTCATGGAGATCAGTAACTAACCTGGTGTCTGATCCATAATCCCAACAACCAGTATTTGCTTCTTCAATTCCCTTCTCCTCCTCTCTTTCTTATTGACTTTCAATTTTACCTTCTCTACCACTTCATGAAAATGCTCATTACCTTTCTGTATCACAACCGGAGCCCCTTTGATCCCCATGAATCCCGATTTTCTCGGCATGGGCGTATCTGGGCCTGTTGCACTTCGACTAGCATTGGAAATTATTTCATTGCCTTCTGTTGGCGACATCTTCGTGCTTCCGGAAAGCCGTTTTAAAGCACCCGATAATTTTCCCCCCAATGACCCTGTTGGACCTGTCGCTCTTGGAGAATCCGGTAGCTTGTTAGTTGAGAGAAATGGAAAAGGACTCTTCAGGGGGTGTTGACCACTTGAAAAATCTCTCTTTCGAGGCTTATTTGATTCTGGTATTATTATATTCGGTGGTGCCATGGATGATGTATGTGAGACTGCAGAGGGTCTATGAAAACTCTGCTGCTCTTCGCTACCCAAAAATGGAGCAACCGGGGTTCGTGGCTCCCAATCATCTGGGCTTTCGCAGAAATAGCTTTGTCAACTTCTCTTTGTTGGCAATGAGAGTGGTGGTGGCATTAGCGCGACATCATCGTTATGAGCCTTATGTCTGAGTGGATATTCGCGCCCATTCCGATGTTCGTACGGTACTCCTTGATCTATCAAGTCCTCGAGACCACTAGTGTATGACAGATCTTGACTAGTATTGAGATCTTCTAAATGACCTTGCATGAACCTTGACACTCGTTCTTTATATTCTGACGATATTACTAATGATCTCGGTGAAGACGTGGCCGGGCTCGATGCATTACTAGGCATGTAGTTCGAGAAGTACGAGCTTCCTTCATCCCGCTGCATCGGAGAAACAGGAGCAGAACCAATAGTTTGGCTCTGGTGAGCCATGTGTGAATTTATAGTATCTTCTTGGCTGTAAATGCTACCAGAACTGTCAGAGTTATCCGTAGCTAACGGTAACTGTCGACTTCTTCCTTCTCTTATTTCCATAGTCGGGTCGTAGCCCGTTCTCTGCATCACCTTCGTTGCCGACTTTGTCAAGGGTGGATCGGGGGGTGGAGGTAATGTCCTAGTATCGGGCGAAGAATGGATTCTTGCCACTCTCTGAGGACCTTCGCTTCCCTCAATATCAATATCATCATCGTACTTCGTTGAGACAGAAATGTCCATAGAAGGTTTTGGAACAGGATCTCCATACTCATTCAATCTCCCGTCGAGCCTCCTACTCCCCCTGCCCAACTTCTTCGCTAGAACACTAGGAATTGCTGGCAGTGGATCCCTATTGAAGTGCAACTTATCACCCGTAGTTTGACTATGTTTCAATTGAGGCCGTTTCATAGTTTCCAAGCCACTCAAAGAAGCAGATGTATGACCCCACTGTGCCCATGGTCCTAATTTTGCGTGCGCGCTTGTCTCTAGTTGAGATTGAGATCTCGAGTGCGAAAGAGAATGCCTATCTGTTAAAGGAGTCGGTGGCAATGAAGCCCGAAACTGCTCCTTAGATGGCGATTGGTACGCCATGAATAATGACACCGAAAACGAACGCAAACGGAGTGATCTTGATTCGAGAAAATTGGCATAGGCGCTTTCCGAAATATGTATTCTAGCCACTCGGCTAATAGGAAATTTACACAGACAAAGAAGGAAAATGGCCTACGCTTAATGAAGGATAGAAGAGGAAATATTCTAGAATGAAAGAAAAGCACTGATTTGTCAGGGGTGTAATTTTCTCCGAAAGAAAGCAAAGTTTTGGTTCATGGTATGGAGATTTCGTTATGATTCTTTGATGCGCGAGTCTTAAGAAACAAAGAATCATGTCAGCAATGCCACGCTGCCGAGCTGCCAAGAGCCAAATGACTTTTGAAAAAGTTATACCATCAAGATCAATTGGAAGACACCGATTACTCATCATTTCAAAAGAATGTTGGAGCATGCATACTATGAGATCAACTATACCAAGTTAAAACGAATGATGCAGAGTAGAAACTGGCAATGTCAGGATAGAGCTATGGCACGCGGGAACGAAAGGAGATAGGGGAGTTTGATATTTCAAAATCCAACAAAGTGATTCGATGATTTGCAACTTGCGAAAGTCGATTTGTGAGAAATAACTTCGTAGGCGAAATGTACGGAATATGGCTATTTCTTCCATCACCCCGTTTAAAAAACGCCAAGACCCTACCCCTATTATCTCTCAAAATCCGAAGTGAAAAAATGACAAGCGCTAGCCTGTAACCATATTTCAAATGGATAGCACAAAGGAGTAACAGGCAGAAACTTCTGATTTGCGATGTCTCCAATCGTGTATTCTTCAATGGATATAGTAGTGTTGACTCTAGTGATGCCAAGCTATCTAGACGTTCAACAGCTCCTCCACTATTCATATGTAAACGTTTCTCAGCTTCGAAAAATCCATAGTTATCACAATCTCTAATCAACCACCACCCCCTCTTCCCCATCCCCCTCCATCTCTCCCTCACTCTTCTCTTCTCTACATATCATACCACATTAACACCTGCACCATCATACCTCCCCAGCATACCACCCACACTAATATTCATCCACGGCGCTTGACACAACTCCTCTATTTCCTGCCAAGTAATCAATTACCCATGTATAACTATCGCTATGTCCTCTACAGGTAGTATCATCCCCACCACTGATCTCACAGACGATATAACCGCTATCAGAAATATCGCACAGAAAGAGATCGACGCGGGAAAAGAAATCATAGTATGTAGTTATTCCTAGGCGCAGTATCTATGACAAGTGCTCTTGATGGGGTGAGCCTTACTGAGAGGATTAAAGAAGGAAAGTTCGGCGTGGTGGTGAAATTAGCTTTCAAATGTATTTTTGTAGTTCCGAAGGGTAATAGTCTTCAGGCAGTCACTGGTGGGAGAAGCTATGGTAGTAATTTGAAAGTGAAAGTCTTTATCTGAATTCAATAGAGGTGGACTATAAACACCAACTGTGATTATCAGAATGGTTTCATCCCAGCAATAAACGCTAGACACAAATATTACCATGATCTTAATGATACAATGGCCAGGGATTACGAGTCCAAGCTAAAACTACAAAGTGTGGCCAGCTTCCAAATAGAAGCTACTTTGGCTGCCTATTTGGTGATCCCATCAGTTTATTTGATATGTGGAGATGAATTAGAGATTCCTAAATCTTTGCAGGAATTTATGATAGCCGAGGCTCGAACTTCAGGAGGGGTTATGAATGGAGAGCAGGTGTTCTGCGAACACAATCCCTTTTTCAAGGAACCCGGAACATACAGCTAGTTTCTTAAGACGAACTGCGGATGAGGAGTTTGATATTGCTGAGGTTCAGATTAGTTTTTCTGTTCTCAAACTTTTTTCCAACACCCAGAGAAACTTACAATATTTTGGTGAAAAAAGACAAAAGGTTAAAAAATGAAAAGTTCAACGATCGAACATCGGGTGTTCGTATGATTCGGCTTGTCTATACAGAAACATTCGATCTTATTCGTGAGACAGAATGTCCGTATCATATTGGTACTATCAATGTCATTGTTTCTGTGCAAGGAAGCCTGTCTGGGCCAATAAAAAAATATTTTTCCATGTTGTGCCAGAGTATGGTGATTGTGATGGTCGCAATAAACCCGATGGTATATCATCAGTACGCAAGTTGATCGAAGATCTTCATTTAATTTGTGACAGAGCCCTTGCCTTTGCCTTTGCTGTCTCCCTTGAGACCTTTGTTGGTCTCCTCACCCCCTGTAGCTTGTAATCCCTGGCCAGACTTTGAACCTTCAGCCATGGGACTGAGATCATCTTCCGAAGTTGGTAAGTTAAGCCTTTCAACTTCAGACTTTAAATCTTGCATGTCGGGATCAGGATCACTTTTTGTAATTTGTGATCCCTTATTAGAGTTTGGGCTTCTGATCTCTGAGCCGAGTCTATCTTCTGCGATTCCTGCTCCTTGAACAGAATTTGAGCTGCTAGCTTTGGCACCAGGATCCTCTCTTGTAATTATGAAATTCCGCTTGGACTTTGAGTTCATGAACTTGGAACCCGGTTTACTTCCTGTAGCTCGTAGTTCCTGTGTGGACCTTGAGCTGTTGACCTTGGTACTCGCTTCACTTTTTGTAACTCGTAGTTCTGGCTTGGACCTTGAGCTTCTAGTATTACCAGAACGGATACCAACCCATCTGATAGGCGATGGTTTCTTTTCAGGCTCGAAACCAAGTTGAAGTCTCCGGGGAGATTTCGGGCCTTCAGCCTTTGAACCGTGACCGCCTTCTGGAACAGTTGTACTTGTAGTTTCCTCTCTTGCTTCGACGTAATCCTCCCACACGTCTTGAAGCGATTTCCGAATACAAAACTTATTGTCTTCAGCTAAAAATTGCGTGCTGTGGTCCCATTCCCCAAGTCCAGATGCTCAAGTTTGATATGACCGGAGCCTATTTTTTCCAGGTTGTTAGATATGGTGAGGATAGCAGAATCTGGTATGACGGATTCACGGTCTTTGAAGGTATTCTTTGGGTACGCTTCCCATACGTCATCACGCCACTGCCTAAACATAAGCTGACATGCTTCAACAGTATCATTTGAGGCCCCACCAGGAACGATATCATTATCGTCTTCAATGCCTCTCTTCTCATCTTGAAGCTTGAGCCACACTGCAACCAGTGTATTTCCGAGCGATGACTGGGAATGATCTCTTGAATACAGCTCACGTCTACCCCATTCCCTCAAGTCCAGTTCCTCAAGTCTGATTTCGCTAGTACACAATCTCCTCAGGTTCTGAGATATGGTTATTATGGCAGAGTCTGGTATGACGCATTGCAACTGAACGTCCTCGCGGCTACCATCTTTTGGTAATGCCTCCCATATGTTCTGACGCCACAGCAAGAGAGCCTTATTACATGAAGCAACGGCGTAATCAAAGGTCACGTAGTCTTGTATCCAATCTATTACCAATTTTCTCACATCCAGTCGCTTCTTTGACGCATGTTTGATTGTGGAAATTTGTGCCTTTTCGAAGAACCCGTTGTAATCATCGATATATTCCTTCGCTATCTCAGGTACAGAATCATCATCCAGCTTGGGTTCCCTAAGCAGTGAGAATATCGACAAAAGAACACTTTGTAAAGAAGTCTCCGGAAGCCATTCAGTTGTAATACTTGGCAGGCGGAGATCTATACCTGCACTGATACTCGGGTGATGAATCTGTGTCAAAAAGCGCACTTTCATAGGCCGTCCAGGATATAGAATAGGAAAATAAATGTGTAGAAAGAAGATACCTCCAGCGTACGGGCTCTCAGAGGGTCCCTCAATGCAGGCGATTGCATTTGTAGGGTCAAAAACATTTCCAAATCCACCAACTCTACTACTATAAAGAGAAGCAGGACAGACACTAAGATAAGGAGTTGTATCATCGGCATTAATAGCTTCGTATTCTAAACATAAATTCCTGATACGATCATATTCACCCTTTTCCCTACTAACCTTCAGCACAGTGAGTGGCGTTTCATCAAAATGAAATCGGATGGCTCGAAGGGTATGATTCTTATGACTATTCCGAATCTTCGATAATTTCTCTCCACAGGGTGCAGTTGTTTTGGTATCAGGATTGGGATTGGACGTAGACATAGACGTAGACTTGGACTGCTGATTCAACCCGAGTTCCTCCTTGGAGTCAGTCCAAGGCTCGAAGATATTGGGATCCTCTGCCATATTGACCTTAAGTTAATATGACTGTAAAAAATCGTAGGCGACAATCTTTTTTGTACAACCAAGACTGCCAAGTTGAAGTTTCGTATGCTTTCAGTTTGCTTTCCGAAATTAAAGAAGAATTAACAGGTCAAAAGACCGAGTGATGAGATGTCAACTATTTCTTCCAAAAATCTGATCTGGTATGAATTGTAAGGGATGAAGATTGTGGGATGAGTGAAGGAAAATGCAACGAGACGAGTAAATAAAGATCAATGCCATTTTGAATCGTTTTGGGGAGGCACTATGGATTTCAGATCCTAAGAAACAGAACAGGAAACTACTGTCGTGAATGAATGGTAGATGATACTACCCAGCTAGGCAAGTAGGAGATTATAAGTAGTGCTCAGCAAGCGAGCAAGAGCTTTGGGAGCTCATCATTCCACTATCCCTGATCGGTTCTAGCATCTGTTCTACCTATCAATCGACAACTACAAGAGGTATAAAACAACCGACTTATTGTCTCATTGAACTTTGAACTTTCTTAAACCAAAATGTGAGTGAGCAACAAAAACAGGGTGAGATGAAGAATGTTTTGATACATCGCGGATTACTGCTCTTCACCCCCTGTCCACGCCCAGACTGGAGAATGTAACATATGGACCAGCAAGACTCAGCGAAATGCAGGACCAAAAAATCCGGAAAACAAAATACCATCGAACCATTATAGTAGTCGACGAAAAGTCTTCACGACTAATAAACTTGATATCCATCCCGCCAAGAGCGATGCAATTTATAAATCCAAGCGTGCTGATTCTTGGACGTTGATGAATCGGAACACTCAGTGGTGTGATTTCATCAGCCCACATTCTGCACAACCAGACATGACCAGTTGCAAGAAAGATATGGTATAAAAGCAAAGAAAAGTATCCCAAGTTCTATTTTCTATCTGAAATTCTCTTATTGCAATCTCACAGGCGTTTATATTGTTGTATTCATCACATCTACTCAAATCGCGATTTCCTCATCATGCCATTCGACACAACCATCAAAAAAGTCGCTCTAGCTGGCGTTAGTCCCCCCTTCTCATTCCCACCCCCCCTTCTCCACAACCCCTCTCAAATAACAAACCCCAGGCATCCGGCCCAGTAGGCCAAGCAATCGCCGCTGAGCTCCTCAAATCCGAACTATTCGATATCACAATCCTAACCCGTGATTCCACCACCTACCAATCACTATTCTCACCCACGCTCAAAGTGATCCAAGTCGACTATACCTCTCTCACCTCTCTAACCCAAGCCCTAACCGACCAAGACGCCGTCATTTCCGCCCTCTCCCCCAGCGCCATCCCCACCCAAAAACTCCTCATAGACGCCTGCATCCAAGCCCACGTGCACCGATTTCTGCCCTCGGAATACAGCTATGATTTCTATTCCCCCAGCATCCACCAGCTCTCCCACAGCAACCAACGCTTCGCCCAAAAAATCGCCATCGAGGAATACCTCAAAGAGCAAGCCACCCACACCTCTCTAAGCTATACCCTCCTCTTCAGCAACCCCATCCTCGAACTATCCCTCAAAAACAACCTCTTCTTCGATTTCCAAACCCGCACCGCGATCCTCAACCCCCAATTAAAAACCACCCCTATCTCCCTCACCACTCTTCCAAGTCTTTCCAAAGCCGTCCGGAGAATTCTCACTCACCCTCGCGAAACGGCAAATCGACCCATCCGTATCAAAGATATTGATATCTCCCATGCAAAACTTTTATCAATCGCCCAATCCCTCACACCCGGTCAACAATGGGATATCCGCACCGACGTAAGCTCAGATTCAGACTCAAGTTTTAATTTCGGAGGAAATTTCGAGCGCGTGCATAATAGTGTTTTTGGAATCAAGGAGATATCACTAGAAGAATTGGAGGAATTGGTAAGAGTTACGTGTGAAGTGGAAAAGTCATGATGAGCATCTATTGTACTATGTCGGTTGGAGATATTATGGGCGTTGAAGATGGCGTTATGGAAACTGTCTGAATATACTGTTAATATACGTAAACATATTTGCCACTGCGCATAATCCCCTTCCCTAGTGATTCATCGCAGTAGTGATCATCCGGCGACGAAAGAGACTGGTCTGAGAACTCCCTCTTCCCCGCTACACATTCATATCAGTAATCTCACCAATCCCAGCTGCAATCACAATCATGATGGATCTTATCCACATGATCATTCAATAACAAACATTTCACATGCCAAGAAAGGAGGAGCACTTCCATCCAAAATCAAATTCTGCATTTGGATCATTAATTTGTGAAAGTATACTACATGATCATTACGTCCGTTCAACTCATGTTAACCTCCCCTCCCCTCCCCCAGATTCAACCCAGTTTCACCTCATCCAATCCTCGTGAAAACATCATCTTTCCCCTGACTTGTCGCATGGAAAGCATACCTGAAATAGAGAACCGAAAGGGTATATCGCAGACGGACAGCACTCCTGCAATGCAATGCGGCCTTGCCTATGACTAACAAAGAAAAGTTATAAAAAAAGACGTTGTGATAGCTTATCCTGAAACATCTGGAACAGTAGTCTCCTAAAAAGCATCTTCAAAAGGACAATCAATACTGTCATGTCCGTCCCGTTCACATACGCCGCACCATTTATCCATATTAATTACTCCACTTTCCTTTCCTGGTGCAGCTCCTGGTTCCATGAGGTTGGGAATAGTTTTGATAGGCGATGCATCAGGCGATTTCTTGGCTGGCGCTAACGGTGCCGGTTCGTATTCTTCTTGGGATGGTTTGGGAGATAATTTAAGTCCCTCCATGACAACATCCTTTCCTGTTCGTTGCTGTTTAGGAGACTCATCCTTAGAATTGCTGCTGTTACCATTGGGGCCAAACATCGGGCAATGTAGGACATCATGACCTGAAGTTTCGCACAATTCACAGAAATCCTCAGCTGCAGAGGAGTAGCTGTCATTCTCAGGCATTGTCTCCAGATTGTTGCGGTGAGCATCTGAGGTTCCACGTTCTCGCCAGCTTGCAACTGTGCTCTTAGTATCTTGGAGAGAATTTCTATCCTGAGTCACAGTTCCACTGCTCATGGCACTAGTACGATGCGTAGTAGGATTACTAACACTTCCCCTTCGTAGTCCCTCTAACTCGCGCTCCATTTGTTCTTCTTTATTGCCTTTGCTTTCTACTAGAGCACGGAGCTCACTCACTTCCCGTTCTAGCTTCTCCCGGATACGGCGCTCCTCCTCAGAAACTGAAGCGCTTTCTGTACGGCTTCGACTGAGTCCAGGTCGTAGAATGTTTGGTGTTGTGTCCTGGTCCGAGAAATTCCCATCAGGTATGGCATCTCTGCTGAGCGAGTGGATGATGGCTTTCAATCCACGAATTTCATCATCTCTTTGCGCAATCTCTTTGGAATGTGTTCCGCACTTGCGCTCGCAGGAGAGTTTGCGTTACTAAGAGCTTCGGCAGTCTTCTCTCGCTCGCGGCGGAGTTCAGATCGAGTTCTCTCGACCTCTCCACGCAAGAACTCAACTTCACCCCGAGCTTCGGCTTCACCACGTCGTGCATCTTCAAGACCCTCCTCGAGCTCTTGAACGAGCTCTTCTAGCTGTTTCAGTTGTACAGCAACGTGCTTTACATCGTGACTATTCTCGTGCATGGTATCGAGTTCCATTACAAGAGCACGCATGCGCTCATCATACACTCGCTCGGTTTCCGCACCGGCCATTTCGAGCGTGTCTATCGTGCTTCTGAAATCAGCTCGATGCTGATCAAACTCGGCAGTCAGCATGGCGATTTTGTCGTTCTTTTCACGTATTATTGCCCTCAACTGTGTTGCGTCTTTGTCATCCACACTTCCCCGACTATGTCTACCACTTGCGTTCTCATTATTGTTCTCCATCAACGATTGTGCTTCGCTGAGAGTTTTCTCCATGTCTTCTATAATAGAAGCCTGCTCTTTAATTTCCCTATCTCGATCTTCTAACAGACTTCTCAATCGCTCAAATTCGTCGTCAGTAGCTCGGGAGGTTGTACGCGATGCGGATCTTGATGCAGGACGTAATTTGGCGTTAAAGGAAGAGACTGAGCCAACGCTTCCGTTTGTTGCCGTGCGTGCGATCTCTGCAGGAGGTGTCTCTTCATCACTGTAATTCATCGAGTTCATTGGTGCAGGTCTATTCCCCGTTCCAAGTGCGGAAACACTTCGTGGAGGTACTGGTGTTTTCATACCATTTCGGGGGGTATAACCAACTTTCTTACTTGGATCTCTAGAATCCTGTGTTCCTCTAACGCTCTGTCCAAAGTTTGCCTGTGCAGGACTTGCATATCGAGATGGAACTCTTTGTGCAGGTGTATTTAATGATGGGTTAGCATTGGGCGCTCTTCGAACTGGTGACTCTGGTCTTGACGTGGTAGGTGTAGATATGGATGGTCGTGTCTTTTGAACATATGGGTTTACTGCTCTGCCTGGACCAACAGATTGACTGAACTTTGGTAACAAAGGTGTTGGTTGACCATTTAACTCTGATCCTAATCTCCCAGCCCTATTGCCCATCGATGGAGAAGCCGGTGAAAGGGGAAATGACTCATCGTGCGAAGAAGGAATGCTACGTCTTTTCGCCCTGTTAACTGGGAGAAAAATTCCAGCACCGTCGATTGTGGTGTCGAAGTAGTGAATTCTGCATCGAACATCAATCAGTTCATTGTCTGCAGACGTAAATGCTTGAATGCCTCACCCGTCAACATCTCCATTGTTTTTCCCTTTCGAAGCAAACATTTCACTTAATTCTACTCCAGCAAATACACCCTTTTTGCCTTGCACACTGCCAACAAATTTGACAATGCCATACATGTTACCTGGTACATCGACTATATCACCAACCTCTAGTTCCTCGGGCCCACCGCCAGCTCGAGCAGGTGTGTATGGTAGCATGTTGCCTACTGTTGGCATATCCTCATCAAAAACTGTAGAAAGAGGGTATCTCTTGCTTGCATCTGGGATTGTCGCAAGTGAGTTCGAGGTAAGGGAAGCGAGTGAGACTTGTCGAGATGGTTGCGACCTAGGATAATTCAAAGCAAAACCTTGACCGTTATTGGGCAGATATGCAGGAACGGGTGTAGCTCCTGAAGCTTGTAGTAATGCCAAATTATAGGAGGCGTTGAGATTGGGTGTTGATTTGGTACTCAAAATTCCAGTTTTGACGAAAGTCGATTTTTTGGGTGACCTTTTCGGTGTTGAGATTCTTGTGGTAGACATTTGTACCAATCCACCCAAAATACTCCCTATTATTGTTTTCTGTATAACCACCCCTCACAATTCACCAACGTGAGCCAATCAACGTTCTTGATTGTCTGGTAAAAGCCCCTATACAATTAACTTTTACTTTGTCTCTCAAAATAAAGCCGAGTGAATATTCAATTCGAATTTGCACAACGAAAGGTTGGGATAATTATTATAAGATGATTTGTCGTTCTTTTCATTGATTGATGTCCACGGTCGTTACTAAGAATTGCAAGGTAATGCTAGATAGAACAAGAGGAAGAAAGGATTATGAATGAACTTGTGGGGGAGAAGAGGTGAGGGATATGGCAGGCACGTAGAAGTTATCTCCTTCACCTATAGCTAGTAGAAGAAGACTGGGAAACGGCAGGAGAACGAGGAACGCAAGTGCAAATGCAAATGCAGTCTGCAGGAGAGATCAACGCCGGTACATATGTTTGTTTATAGGCATATTGATCCGACCCCTGTAGCAGAAGGAAGCATCACGGTGAACTTGAGAGTGGAAGAAGATCAAAGTCAACATTCAATACGGCAACATAGCCAATGGCATCAGTGGGCATGAGTGTAATCAAATTGTGGTTCCTCATTCCTTGTTCTGCAAGATCATTCTACCGTTTCCTATGGAAGCATAGTCCGGGCCCCCATCACGAAGCTTCTGCAGGTGTATATTACATACCTATCCGATCTAATCCACTATTCCTATTCTGCTGGAAAGGACATGAAGCAGTTGTCCTCATCATCGTTAATTAGATGGCCCAGCGAAACGCCTCATGGTCCTTCTTTTTAAGCTTCAGATGATTGTCTATATTGGGCGATTCTATATTACCCCCATTCAAACGATGTCCTGTAGTATCTTTCAGTGATCAATGCTTTTGCTAATATGTCTCTCATGAACTGATAAATCTGATTGAATCTACCAGTGGTTCGAGGTATCTCTGCCTATCGGAATGTGTGGGGATCTTAATATAGATACGAGTATTGTATCTCAGGGTACCACCTAAATATTGAAATCAACCTTCACAGGAAGTACACATCGTACTGTTTAGACACCTAGCAATGAGTGGATAAAGCACATGCAAGCTTCAAGGGCTCAGTATTCTATTACCTACGACTTCATCGATGTAGGAATTCACAGTTCTGGAGAATCTTCCATTTGGTTGCTTGTCCAACATTGTTTTGATGTCAGAATGGCCCCTGGTCCTTGCAATTGATGCAGGTACAGACATGTACAGACAGGTACGGGTAAGCATCATAATAGTCCGTCATCTGAGCGCTGAGCTCTGAACTGATATTTTGTATCATGTAAAGTGCATTAGGAATCTAGGACATCACTCAGTTTGGAAGAAATTATTGCCATTAAATAGAACTTGGATTTTCTTGTAACTTAAAGGCTTTAAGTTAAAGCTAACACATCCTCTGTCTGATACCCTTTAACTTCAATGTCAAGATATCCGATAGCTTCACCCTTGCTAACCTTAATCTAGGCAGGCAATTGTAGGAGCTCGAAATTTCAGCCCCTAAAGCTATGGGTGTCGTAATGTCATAGTCCTGTCGCTCTGTCGCTCATGCTATATAGACACATGAAAACTGATATTTTCTATAGCCATCATCCAGATCAGTGAGTTACTTATATAGAAACCACAAGAGCAAGGCGATATTATGTATTATTGTTCCAATGTAGAACGTACCTCAGAGAATGACTACTTGGGTATGTAGGTTGCCGAAGCAAACCTTTTGACTTTGCCTGAAGTCGTTCGATTTTCTTCTTGCATGAAGATTTTTATTTCATTCCATAGACCCCCTAGGTCTTTGTTGATTTTCATAAATGTCGCCTCTTTCGAAGGGCCTTGTGCCATCGTTCAGAACCATGGCCTCCCTATGGCGTCTTCTGAGATAATCTTCTGCCGTAGTCTGATCCCTTGGCCTTCTCTCGGCATAATTGCTATCGAAATCCTCCATGTCTTGATCCTCAATCTCATCCATCGCAAGGTGCCTTGCAGCTGAATCAGGACTTGCGGGTAGAAGTTTCGCTCCCTCTAACATTTTCCTGCCCCTTTCGTCATGAAACAGTGGCACAATCACTCGATTCAAGCTCTTCTCTTTGTTGAGTGAGTCCATAAAATTAATTGAACGTTCCTCTGTGGTTACACCCCAAGGCTCTTTCACCAACCAACGTTCTATAAACCCAGCGTTTAGAAGTTCCTGAACACCGTATTTGTAAATCAATTCGTATATAATCATGAGGCAGCTTTTTTCCGCTGTGTCGCGAAGGGGCCAGTTATCCCAATCTGGGTCGTATTCATGGTGTACGTAATCCTCAACAGAATATTCCAAGCTTGTGACCAATGCTTCATATGTTTCGGGCTTGTGTATGCGTTTGACAGTCGCTAGAACAGGATAAGTTTGATGAAATAGAAAAGTAAGCGGGGGATTGAGAGTAGAAATACACACAATTGTTCACAATCAAGATAAATGCTCGAACTGCTATCGCTCGTTTGCCGTATTCTGGTTGACTAATTTCATGAAGTAGGCTGTTAATGGCGTATTCATTGTGCAGAGCACGTTCGCAGACAATGATCGACGCAGTCTCTTGAATTCCGTAGTTTGGATTCTTGATCAACTTCTCCAATGTACTGAGGTTTAAAGAATCTTCAGTCTTCTGGTCGATGAAATGCGATTTGCTCTCGGGAGGTGGAATTGTGGCAGCTTCCCGAAAATGAACAAGGCGATGACGCACAAAGGCCAAAACAGCACAAGTTGTAATTCCCAGCCCTAAGAATAACAATCGCTCCTGTCCTACCGGCGATAGCATCGCCATGTTTGATGAAACTACATTCAGCGATGAAAGTGGTTATGAAGGGAATTATGGTTTGATTTGTTCAGAATCGTAAGCCACAAGGCTGACGAACGAAGGGTAATTCTTGTGGGGCAGTCGCGTGTAGTACCGGTACTGTGGTATCGGATCATCCATCCTCTGCGGGGTTTAAACGTTAGGGTTGCGCGTTCAGAAGCTTCTGAAGTTTACGTATTACTGCGAAAAATATGACACTTATGAGATCAAAGAAGCATTCATCATGTCTGATCTGATAGTCCTTCTTCCATATTCAATTTTTTATATATATTTCAACCAGTCCATTTAACCCAAATAGGTACACAAACCCATCATTCATCAACCCAAGGTTATAGGATTTGACAGCCAAATGCACAAACACTTTCTTTCCTAGGGGAATATAATTCAGTCGATGATGAAAGAACTGTTGAAGATATAGGTTTCTAGCTGGCTGCACTCGCGATCTGTTTAAGCGATCAAAAGTCGGGATCAACATAAACATACGCATTCGCCAATTGCGACAAAGAATTGTAATCATGAAGGGGATCTTACATCGGAGCCCAGAGTCGACCAGAAAGATCAACACTCAGTTTGGTGAGCTGATACACGAACTAGCTTTTCCACCGATAGTTTATTGACGAATCGAAAGATGGTGACGCATCATATCCGATTTCGTCTCGAAATGATTGTAAAGGATCATGAGATGAGAAGCGGAGAAATACGGGAGGGTTGTTCGCGTTAGAGGGATTCACATACTCAAGATTGTACATTGTCTAATCAATAAATGATTTACTCTTGTTGGAGAACCTGAGTGTCATATTCCAAGAAGTGTTGCAATGATGCGGATCACAGCAAATATTTGTAAGTCTTTAGATATTCAAAGAAGTGTGGTTCTGTGAGAGCACTGCGATTGTCCAAGCGGGTATAAGATTTCAAATGACATCCAGCCCAAGGTTTTTTATCGCCAGTATTTTGAGAATATCAAGACGCTATACACATGTTTAGTATATGGAACAAGTGGCTATTAGAAGTATACCTAGTCATCCCACGTCTATTGTTATCCTGATAGAGCTCACGAGTTTTCCGGCATCTCCGCTACTCCATGGTGACCCGCACTCATCTCATACGTTCTACGATCTTCCAACTCCTCTCGTCTGCTCAAATCTTCGATCCCATTCTTCTTCATCACTCCTCCGTAAGCGTTCCCTTTGTGAAATGCATTCGACTCCTGATTCGTCAAACTTTCATTATTTCTAATCGTTTCTCGTTTCGGCATGTTCTTCTTCTTCTTGGCTTTCATTATAAAGAACACCCCCACCGCAATCATGATCGATATTGCTACCGCAACACCCACGACTACCCCCGCAAATGCTCCACGGCTTAATCTTTTACCACTATCTTTGTTGGCATCGGAAGTTGTGTTCTCTGGTGCAGTTCCTACTGTGGTTGCTGTGGCCGTTGTACCGACACTTGGAGTATTTGTCGTCACTGATCCTAGTCCCAGGTTTTCTAAGACCTTCTCGTCACACTGTAAGATATGAGGGTCAGTATTGCGCCTTGAGGACATTTTCTGGAGGAAACGAGGAAAACGAAGTGCCAATAATGTAGCAAAAGGGGCATGTGCAGTGCAAGACAGAGGTAAAGTTTGAGGTCAGGGAACAGAAGTATGCAATTAAAGCAAAGTGATTGGTGGATCGGGTAGACTCACCTCTCCTCCAGACTTTGCGCCGCAAGAGATTGTTCGTTCTGGAGCAGTTGTCGAGTTCACATTGTCATTCGCGGTAACCACATCATCAGGCAAAGAACCGGTCATGTTTGTAAGAGTAAATCGGTCCGAGTAGGCTGTGATCCAAATAGATTCATTTGATGTCAGATAGGAGCGGTACCCGAAAAAGCTATTCTGTATTGGTAGGTGTTCTAAAGGGGTGTAACAGGTATCTTACTATTTGTCTTCCAGGTTCGGACCTGAGCTGTTTCTGATATTCACCGGAGGGGACTGAGTCGTTGGATTGCTCATTTGGTATCCAGATAATTTGAATATATAAAGCTCAAACTGTAAATATATGTATTCAGCATCGCTTCGTCAATCTGCTTCATCGATCCGGATTTAAACTTTCTCTTTCTCTTCCTTGCGATATATAAACCGTATGAATGCATCCAAGCGAAAACAAACTTACTGGAGCAGTATCATTTCCAGTGAAAAGAACAACCTCCCAACTCGCATCATCAAATTGTCCCAGCGTAGGCACTATCCCGCTATCACCCGCACGAATTTTATACGGTCCTGGGTCAACAACTTCTCCCATGGAAGGAGATTTGAAAAGTATCTCGGCTCGACATACTGCTATTATCATCAACTGTAGCATAAGCCCCTGAAATGAAAACATGATCGTGTCTTCGGCCAACAATCAATAAAAAGCATACGGGAAAGAAGCGCAGTGAAATAAAGAGAAAATGAAGACGAAGAGAGAATTGCGGATAGCAAATAGCACGCGGAATAGCCAACAAGCACGGTTATATAAATAGCAAACACCATATAATCATAAGTAGCATTAATATGTAAGAAATCGTAATTGTAATTCTTGGGTGCCTAGGATAAATGGGGATCTCATCCAATTCTAGTCCTTTAATCGGTTTTTATGATTAAATCGCTACCAAGGGAAGTGATCCTGGAGACACTTGGCCCCCAGATGAGAGTATGAGATTCGTTGACGCGCAGCAGCACCAAAGAGAATGGGTTACACGGCATCGAAAGGAATGACTTAACTTGGTATGGATATGCAAACCTCAATGCAATTCCTTCAATTGAATTGCAGTACGAAAACACAAATGAAATAAAGAGATGTGAAAAGGCTAGAGCTGGACTGTATGCATACTTTTTCTAAAGAGAAAGATCATCCACGACTTTGAATAGGTCACTGAAGTATATTTGATGATTGATATTGACTGGTGGAAAATTGGTCTAATTGACTCCAACATGATCAAGTGGAGAGGTTCTGATTAACCTAGGTACGGCGCTCCAACAACAGATCCGTTGCCAAGGCTTTGGACCAAAATATCGGCAAGTCAATCTGTGGCGGAGATATAAGTATTCCACTGCCTCGACTACCTGGTACTTAGCTGAGTTTAGAAAGGTAATCATGACATCTCTGATGAAGGATGAAATTGACTGTTGGGCTGTTGATGGAAGAACGTTAAAGTTAAATCCGACTAAATTGATTTCAAGGCTAGTGTCGGATATCATTTGCGGGGTTTCTGTTGAACTTACCTCGCATATCACGTGCATGTAAATATGAAGCTCCATTGCGGTGTGAGAGCGGCCAAATCCAACACTTTGTTTTCTAATTCTCAATCATCATCACTTGTCCGATTGGAAAGTTGAGCTATCAAACTATCGAACAATCAGACATTTCATTCTCATCTGAAGCAGAATCAAGTTGAACAATCAAACCATGACTATCCGGGTTAATTCCTCCACTTTCACCCCCGAGGTGTTGATTTCTGCACCTCGGAGATCAGCAGCAACACCAAACGCAGATGGTAAACTGGCATTGTATACTGTCTCGACATATTCTTTTCAATCTCATTCAAAGTCTACCAAAATCAATGTGTTGAATATAGGTACTGGGGAAAGTTCAACCCTGAGCGATAATGCGAATGATAGTGAGCCAGTGTGGCTGGGATGGAAGAACGAGGTAATATGGTTGAGAGCTGGAGAGAAGGGAGTGTCACATTTGGTATTGGCCGATGCAGATGATTCACAAAAAAAGTAAATATGACTCAATATAGGTATCATTCATAAACGAACTTTGATTGACAGCTTGTAGGCCCAAAATTATCACGACTTTCGACGGTGGCATCTCAAACGTGAAACTTACAGCTCTTACTTCGGATGTTGTAGCTATAGCTGTTTCTGGTATGTACTATAGTTACTTGTCCTTTTTTCTTCTTCGAACTTTTCGAATGAGTTCGAAGTTCAAACTCCACGTGAATGGTAATTCAGTACGAATCTCCGATTATGTTGGTCACATCGTCAGATACCGTCCACTTTTCAATATACTCTCGCTTCTAGTATAACTAATTCTCACCTCTCTCAGGTTTGGCAACTCCATCCGGCAATTTATATAATGCTGAAACAGCTAAAAAGCCTCTGTCGACGGCCAAAACATACTCAAAGCTGTTTGTGAGAGAATGGGATGCATGGGTTACGGAAAACAAGAATGCGATCTGGTATGCAACGATTACAAAAAGCAAGGAATCTGGAGATGTTAAAGTCTCTGGATTGGTGAATGCTTTGACGGGTCATAAAATATCTCTTGAGTCTCCAGTACCACCATTTGGAGGAACAGGAGATTTCGATATTAGTAAAAACGGCATAGTCTTCGTTGCCAAAGATCCCAAGATTGACCCAGCCAACTATACGAAGACTGATCTATATTACATTCCTCTGAAGACATTCACAGAGTCAGAGGCTCCAACGCCCCTGTTGGTCGAGACTGGTAACCTGAAAGGCTATAGTCAAGGTCCCGTGTGGTCGCCGGATGCTAAGTCTGTGATTTTCACAAGAATGAAGAGTATGTAATATGTTTTCATCTCTTTAAGCGAGCAATGTTCTAACATAAACCAGGTATTCAGTACGAAAGTGATAAGACAAGGCTTTTGTTGGTGCCTGACATTACTGACCTCACCAATGTCCAAGAATTCTTCGAAACAGAGGATGGAAAGGGTGGATGGGACTTGAAACCCGAGAGTGTCACGTTCAGCAACGACGGAACCCAGATCTACGTAACAGCGGAAGAAGACGGCCGAGTAAAGCTGTTCAAGCTACCAGCTTCTCCACGCCATGCTACTAAATTACCCGAAGCTCTAACTAACAGCGGAACTATCACGGAAAAGCATGTTCTCCCAAGCGGTGAAATATTTCTCAGTGGGAGTTCCTTAATTGACAACAGCGTCTATTCAATTATCGACCCTTCCAAACCCTCAGA